ATTTATTTTTTTGGGACAGAGAGAGACAGAGCATGAGCGGGGGAGGGACAGAGAGAGAGGGAGACACAGAATCAAAAACAGTCTCCAGGCTCTAAGCCATCAGCCCAGAGCCCGACGCGGGGCTCGAACTCACGGACCGCGAGATCGTGACCTGGCTGAAGTCGGATGCTTAACCGACTGCGCCACCCAGGCGCCCCATGCTTGGATCTTTTAAATATTCCACTCTTATAAAATACTGTATGTTCTTGATACTTTCTTCCCGTGTTCTTCCCTTATAAGGGGCATAAACAATCCCAAAAGTGTACATAAAGTATAAGTTATTTAGAATAGTTCTAGGAAGCAAGAAGATCCAGAAATGAAAATTACGTTGCATCGGCATGCAGTGTACTCACTGTGTGCTCACATTAATGCACTGCTTGTCAGCCTGTATTATAAATCTTAACGCACTGCCAGCCATTCTTCTTTAAACTTTCCAAAGTAAGCCATCAGGCAGTAAATTTACATACTGTAGAAAGAATGAATACTTAATAGTGGTTAAGATGCAGTGACATGTGGTGTCAAATCCAAGTAGGCTTCAAAGAAACCCCTCTAAACTGAAATGGAACACCAAAGTTTGTGGGCCTTTTCATTTCCTTAACTTACCTACATAAGAAATCCTGCATTCATTTCTCACTTTCTCAATTATTTTAACTTAGACTTCTAGGTCAGGATTTCTCAAATACAACACTTGATGGTTTAGGTTGGATAATTCTTTGTTGTAGGTCGTGGTTCTGTGCATTGTAGGATGTTTAGCAGCATCCTTGGCTTCTAACTAGTACATGCCTGTAGAAACCACCTCCCCCAGTTGTGACAACCAAAAATGTCTCTAGATACTGACAAATGATCCCTGGAAGGGCAAAATCACTTCTGCGTGACAACCATTACTCTAGGTTAGTGACAATGACAAGTTTTTTACATTTTTAGTAAAAGTCACCCTAGCACTATAAGAAGTAGCAAAAGGAACCAAATTAGCACTCTCAAATACCCTTTGTCTTTAATTATTCCAATACAGGGTTATTTCACATTGGTAGTCATGCTACTTTTTCCTGATTATTATACTTTCAGTAACAATTTTATTATGAATTTTACTGTTTTGGTCAGCTAAAATTATAGCCCAAACACAGCAGTAGTAAGTTAGGTTTTAACCACTAGTGGTTTTTGCATGGGATCAGGATACATTCTGTGATATAATCTGTCTCTAACCCTTTCTTACAAAAGATGCCCCAGTGGTCTCCCATACATACTTAATCAAGCTAATGTTTCATTTTGCTCAAGCAAACTCTCAGGAGTTTGAATGTTTATTGCAAAAGCCTGACCTCTCTGTACTTACGTAGGGCTTCGCTAATTTGTTGTATTCACTTTTTTCCTTCAGGCACAGGGGCAAAGCCAGGGTCAACCATCCTCAAGTAGCCTAACAGGGGTTCCATCTTCCCTGCCCATACAACATTCTCAGCAGGTGAGAACAACTAACTCATTGCTACATTTTATATATTAATAGTAACCAAAACACTGCTTAACATCTTTTCATGTTACGTAGATTCCTTAGGTAAATAAATGGTTTGCCATGTTCTTGAAAGAAAAATCAAGAGGCATAACATTTGTGTCCAGTAACATTTTAGAAAATCTTCCCTTTTGTTTAATGTATTTTTAAATTATCTACTAAATTTAGACATATGTTGAAATTCAAAAGAATCATTAACTGATATTTATCTGCCTTCTTAAATACATGATTCTACACATAATCTAATAACACAAAGAATGTCAGTTTTCTTTTTATATTTGTAACATCCTTTTATGAGCATTTTGCTATTGCTTTCATTGTATTTGACTAATAATGCTATACTCCTTTTTAATTAATTTCTAATCTGTGAAGTGGGGTATCAGATTTTATGCTGAGAGAACTGAACAGCTACATTAGGAACTTTTTAAACATTTTTAAACTTTGATTTGGGGAATTTATTCCTAAAGGTCCATAGAACTCAAAAGATTATAGTACAGTGCTAATGTATTCAACAGCAAAACTAGTAATTCTAAAATTAAACATGCGTAGTTCATTACTGATATTAGTTAATAGCAATTATTTGCATGGGAATAAGGCTTTTTTGACACTGTTGAATATTTTAGCTGTTTCAAATAAAATTGATAGCCACCACATTTGTCATAAAAACTTCCTCATGAACTATTTCATTGACAGTTCCCTGCGAAGTGTTTTCCCAGCTACCAAGTCATAAATTGGTTTCTGTTTCTATTAATATTTTATTGTATTGTATTGTATTTTTAATGTTTATTTAGTTTTGAGAGAGAGAACAAGAGACAGAGCATGAATAGGGGAAGGACAGAGAGAGGGAGGGAGACACAGAATCTGAAGCAAACTCCAGGCTCCAAGCTGTCAGCACAGAGCCCGACTCGGGGCTCGAACTCATGAACTATGAGATCATGACCTGAGCCGAAGTCAGATGCCTAACCAACAAAGCCACCCAGGCACCCCTCTATTAATTTTTTTAAACAAAGCTTTTAATTTTTATTATAGATGGTCTCCTTCCAGGCTAGCATGTAATCATATAGTCATTTGATACTAGTTTAAATTAGTTGTTCCTTGTACAGGATTAGTTTGGTTATATGTACATTTACTTGGTGACCAACAAACAGCCCTGTCTACAGAATTTAAAGGCTGGTAATCATATGCTTTGTCTTGCTCCTGCTTTTTCTTTCAGACAAGTAGATGAATCTGTATATAATTAGTTAAATTTGAGTAGTCACAATTTGCCAACCTTAACAAATTGTATTTTAGTTCTATTAACAACCTTTAATGAAAATATAAATTAAAAATTACATGAAGCTGTTTTGAGGGCAGAAGCGCTATCAGGTTCCACTCCTACTTTGTTTATCTTTGGACACAGGCCAACACCAATAAACCTGAGTAAATTTAAGTGCTTGCTCTGTTCTTCCTTCTCCAAAGGAATTTGTTATGTATATTATATGTGGGCATATAATATGTATACTTACTAGCAAATGAAGATAATGAAACACACCATTCAGTTTATTAGTAAGAAAAATATGTGGGGGTAAAGGGAAGACAGTTCCATAAATGGTCAGGTTAAAAGAATTTAGGTAGTTGACTCTTCTGGGAAAAAATGTAGCTAAATACAGCTGTAATACAATCAAAATTTATGTGTCAGTGATGCTTTTTGTAGATACTTTTGTGAATTATGTTACATAGAGGATGATATTTAAATAGAATCATAAAATTGGGCCCTCAAATTATATAAGTATATGCAGTCTAGAATACTTAATTTTTTCAGGGTTGCATAGCCAGTAAGTGGATAGAACTAAAAATTATAAGCCAGAATTCAACATTTCTAGAATAGGTTTTTTTTTCTACATTAAAGTTCTGCAGGGACTTATGATTCTGGAGAGGTACTCAAGAATCTGCATTTATTTGTTTCAGCTTACTGGGATTTCATTTTTTTTTTTTTTTAAAGGTTATAAGCTCTGTCTCTGTACTATATGGGTGGAGTTTATTTTTAGATGTGAGTTTCATTTTTTTATACTGTCAGTTTCCAACCCTACCTTCGGAAACCATATCTCTAATTTTATTAGACTGAGAAGGGAAATGTCCTTTAGCTGAAATTTACTTTATTCCATGGGTTTCTGGACTGTAACCAATAAGGGATTGCTTTTTTCATGTTTTGATCAAGAGTCCCTTCTAGTGGTATGTGTATCTTAATGAGGTTCCAAAAATAGCTTCCTCCTACTAGAAAACTTAGTAGCTCTTTGCCATGTATGCCATAAACCACCTTACTTAATAATTTGTTACAGGGGCACCTGGGTGTCTCAGTCATTTAAGCATCTGACTCTTGATTTTGGCTCAGGTCATGATCCCATAGTCATGGGATCGAGCTCTGTGTCGGGTTCTGCACTGAGTATGGAGCCTGCTTAAGATTCTTGCTCTCTCCCACTGCCCCTCTCCCCCACTCACGCTCACTCTCTTATAGCTCAATAAATAAATAAATAAATAAATAAATAAATAAATAAATAAGTAAGTAAGTAAAATAATAATAATAATAGAGCCAATAATAATTTTATATTTTATTTTATGATTAATTTTTTTTTTCAACGTTTTTTATTTATTTTTGGGACAGAGAGAGACAGAGCATGAACAGGGGAGGGGCAGAGAGAGAGGGAGACACAGAATCGGAAACAGGCTCCAGGCTCCGAGCCATCTGCCCAGAGCCTGACGCGGGGCTCGAACTCACGGACCGCGAGATCGTGACCTGGCTGAAGTCGGACGCTTAACCGACTGCACCACCCAGGCGCCCCTATGATTAATTTTTATACTACTACTAATATTATTATTTCTTCTTATTATTATTTCTTCCATTGAATCTTCAGGTATTTCTTAACTTTGTGTTCAACTGAGGCTCATGAACATTTTTTCCATCAAGCACCCTTCCTTATTCAATAGATAGTCTGTATAGGCTATTTGAACTGGTTTCATGAGGCAGGTTTATACAAAACATGTTTCCAAGTTGCTGTGCTAAACAATACCTATTTGGCTGAAGTGTTGTTTATTAGCCAGTGAGATTGTGCCCAAAAAGATGACCATCTATTCCTGGCCTACCCAGGGGTGACACTTCTCCCTAAATACTCTAAGGTATAATTGGCATATGTGCCTCTCACTCTTATTTTAAGCAGAGTGATGGTACATGTCTATAAAACTGTTATTTCTCAACAGTTCTCTCTCTCTCTCTCTCTCTCTCTTTTACACACACACACACACGCGCGCGCACACACACACACATACCAGTAATTAAACAGATTTTTTTTCCTGAGTTCATGCTCCCAAGGACCATGTGCTAGATAGGCACTGAGGGTCAAGATGGATCAGATATGACTACTTTGAAAGAGCCTAAGTAATCTAGTAAACATATATGTCAACTCCTACAAAACAAATAAGCATAATAGTTAAGATTATATACAATGTGCAAAGCATTTTACCTGTATTTTTATTTAATCCTTGTATGAACCCTGTAAGTATACTGTCATTATTTTCATTGTGCAGATGCGAGAGCTAAGGTAAGATCTGGAGAAGATGAGTAATTTATCCAAGCTTACACAGCTTATAAGAGGTAGAAACAGAATTTAAATCCAAGTAGTCTGACTCCACAACTCACCACTTAACTGCATCCCAATTATGCCACCAAAGGAGAGAAATTGTATCTCTTTCAAGCAGGGAGGGGAATATCAAGAAGGCTTTATGAAAGAGATAGCATTTGAACTGAACTCTGATTGTGAGTTAAACTCATGTAAGAATAAAGAGTGTTCTAGGCCAAAGTGGCCGGGGGGGGGGGGGGGTTCACTATAAGCAAGGTAGAAAACAACAAAGAGAAAACTGTGAGAACAGAAACCTTTAGTTCAGTCTAGCTAGAACACAAGTAAGTAAAGGTATATAGGTTCATAAAAAAAGTTGATTGAATCCACATCTTGATGCAAACTTGGTTCTGCATTGATAGAAGTGAGAGAGAATTAAGCATATGCTCATCTGTAAAGTGGTATATTTTTTTCCTCAAACTTTTCCCTTTCTCTTAGTAAAGAAGGAAATCAACATATTGAAATTTTTATCATATTTGCACATTATGGGCTTTCACTCTCCTTTATTTTGAACAATAAGCAAAAAAATGTTAATGGAATAAAATAAAACTGGTGAAAACATGTGCTTGTAAGGACCTTAAAATAAGTATATGTAGTTGGGAGATGTTTATAGACAACATCTGACAGAACTGGTTTTAAAATAAAAGCTAAGAAATTAAATATAGATTTGGTCCTTATTCTTAAGGTAGCAACTTCACTATTCCAGGTTCTATTGTCATTGTGAACAACTTATTCAAAGGTCACTGTAAGGAGGTAATACAAAGATTACATGAATATGAACCTATAAGTTATGACAAAAGCAAAAAAATCCAGCTGTCCTAATGCTATTTATGATGCTTGTCACTGAAAATTTTACACAACTTACAGGGAAAGTATTATACTATACTCCAGAAAACTAAAGCCTTTGTAGTATAGCTCCAGTGAAGATAAAGAGACTGGTTTATTATGTGGGAAGAGTTTGAATGAGGGAGGCGGAGCAATATTAATATATTATATATAAGTTAATATATAATATATATTATATATAATATATAAGTAAATATATGTTAATATATTTATGTAAGTGTGCCATCTTATTTAGAGATGTAAATTAATAACTCAGATAATGGTAGACGTTTCAGTGTGAATTCCTTACAGTTAAAATATATTCAAGTTGACCAAAAAGATTCTCTAGTTTTTTATTCTTTCTCGGTGAAAATATGGAAAATTATTTTATAATCAGAGTTGCCTTATATTTGGATATATATATCTTATTAGTTTTTGAAAATAAATGTTATATAATCAGTAGCCAGTTGTTCCTGATTTAAGTTAAAATAAGAATACATTATCAGAAACAAGAAAAAAACAAACACTACTATTGTCATCATTGTGCGTCAGCATTTTGGGGGGTGATTTTAATTGATACAGTGAGAGCAAAGTAAGAAATAAGTATCAGGAGAACAAAAATATTTACAGATTATCACCTAACAAAATCTAGGATGTTCATTAAGGTGGTCAGGATCATGATATATATAAAACAAAAATAAGTAAGTCTTGGGAATGCAGTGTGTAGTATAGTGATTACAATTGCTATGGTATTGTACATTTGAAAGTTACTAAAAGAGTAGATCTTAAAATTTAAAAGTTCTCATTACAAGAAAAAAACTGTAACTGTGTGGTGATAGATGTTAAGTAGGTTTCTTCTGGTGATCATTTCACAACATACACCTATATTAAATCATTATATGTCAGTTAAATCTCAAGTTTTTATGTATACATATACTTATAAACAAATAGTATATCTTTTTACCAGCAGTATCTAGTTAGTTGTATAGACCAGGACATATGTAAAGCCTACTGGTTGTTGTAGCATTATTTTAAGTATCAAAAAAAATCAACCAAAATGTTCATCATTAGGATATTGATGCCATTGATAAGTTAAATGAAAATAACATGTTACAGAACTGTATTTATAGAATGAACATGCTTTTATTTCAATATGTAATTGTGTGTAAATGACCAGTTATATATAGAAAAAAATCCATAAAGGTGATGACCAAACCATTGATAGTGGTTGCCTCTAGAGAAACGGGGTTAGGATATTTCATTTAACTTAACGATCTGATACTTTGGTTAAAAATTTTTATTACAAGCAGCTGTTGTTTTGTGTTAACCAAAACAATTTTAAATTACTTAGAGACATTAGAGAGTCTTGAAAGTCATTTGTGAAGTTCAGATTTTTGTTAGGCCAGAGGGGGCCATTAACTTATTACAAAATTTAGTATTGGGAGTACAATTATGTACCATACATTAAGTTTAGATGTATTAAACCAGAATGCCTAACATGTGGTTGATTCCTAAATGTCACTTACTCCTTTGCCCTGCTTTGAATTGAGTGATTGTGTCCTTGTTTTCAAAGAAGGAAGTATCTTTTTGGCAGTAAAATGAGCAGTCTCTAAGGTATTACAACTAGTAAATGGTAAAGCTAAAATTCCACATTCAGTGTTTTTCTATTTTGTGGCTGTAATCAGAGCTATTCTTCAAGCAAATTAATTACACGGTTGCAAAAATACAATGAGAGAAAGAGCTTAAAGGGAAGAGATTGGATTTGCTTAATATAGGACCAAAGTAAGAACAGATATCAAAAAAATGGGAAAAACCAGAAGGAGATATTAGAGGAGAGAGGACCTATTTGGATATGTTATCTAAAGATCTTTATGAATGACCTACTGTTGGGGTAAGGGGGATGATAGGTGAAGAACCAGTAGTGACTCAAATTCTGAAACATTGGTTAATTGCTCTTCGTGGTACCATCACAAATAAAGAACACCAGAGGGAAAAGAAATAAATGTGTGAAGGGGAATTGATGAATTTGGTTTTGTGTATGTCTTGATTACTAATATTGTCATATTAGATACAGAAGGCTTTAAGCAAACGTACTCCCTTAGAATCATGCTATTAATGACTTGAAACAAAACTGAATAATTATACTTTATTTTCAGCAGCAGGGAGTACAGCAGACTGCCCCTCCTCAACAGACAGTGCAGTATTCACTTCCACAGACATCAACCTCCAGTGAGGCCACTACTGCACAGCCAGTCAGTCAGTCTCAGACTCCACAGGTCTTGCCTCAAGTATCATCTGGAAAACAGGTAGCTCTTCATTTCTAAATAGATGCTAAATGGAATCTCCATGTAACTTGTATTTTCTCATGGATAGGCTTCTCTCTTCTCTAATGTTGAAATACCAAAGTTGGTTATTTTCACCACAAAAATGAATTGACAATTGTTCCTTTTGTGCACATGAATTAGTTAATGTAAATAGGTACATACTGACAGCATTCACAATCCAAAAATGCTTAACTTTTAGGTTTATTAGTCTGAAGTCCGTTGGACAAGTATTAGAACTGGTGGGCTAAGTAACAGTGCTTTGGTAACTGAACCTATGACATTTTCTAGAATTGAGTTAGCTATATCTAATTATTCTAGGTTTACAACTATGCTGTATTTTTCATGCAGATTTATGCATTTTTTTCCTCTTTCATTGCCTACTGACAGTAAGTCATAAAAACCCCTTATATGGAATCATGTTCTGTTGTTCTGAGTCTTCCTTTGAATCACTTGAAAAATGCCCTTTTGAAGGTATATTCTACTGGATGACCTATTTTAAACTTTAACGTTGGGGCTTGTTGTCCTTGTATTTTGGCACAATGTATTGTTTCTGTCGTATTTCATCGCATCTGAGATACTGTCAGTTGTCAAATGCACCATTATGTTTTGTAACCAAGTACTGACACACCATTAATTGTAAGATACATCTTAGTTTCACAAAGGTTAAAATGACCAGGTGGTAGAGAGAGATGATTCCATCCTAGAGTCAGTGAAATATGGTACTCATACCTACTTTCATTGGCCAGTGTTAGACTTAAGAATTGTAGAAGCAAAAAATAAAAATAAAAAAAATAAAGAATTGTAGAAGCAATACAGATTGAAATCTAATTCCAGTAAGAAAGAATTTCATTTGAATTTCAGTAACTACTTTAATAGCAATCATAGATGTAGTGACAACAAATATACCAATGGATTAGGGTATGTGAAATATGTCTAAATAGAGCTGTAAAAAAACAAACTCGGCTTTCGGAAGTGTCTTCTTTTATTGTCGAACGATGAAACATTAGTAAAATTTCCTACAACAAAAGATTTGAAACAGCCGGTCTGTCAGCCTCTCTGTCTCCTGTTATCCTTTCCCTGTTCTTGTGTGGCACATTAACTTAAACTAATGTATGCAGGTTTGGGTTTTTGGTTTTTTTTTTCCTTCTTTTTGGCTAACACATAAATCTTGCTTTTGGCAGCCTTGCTTTTTTCTTTTCTTTTCTTTTCTTTTTTTTTTTTAAGTCTGTCTGTTTTGTTTTTCTTTACCTTCCCAGCTTCCAGTTTCCCAGCCAGTACCAGCTATCCAAGGCGAACCTCAGATCCCAGTTGCGACACAACCCTCAGTTGTTCCAGTCCACTCTGGTGCTCATTTCCTCCCTCTGGGACAGCCACTCTCTACTTCCTTACACCCCCAGTATCCTGTCTCTCAAATTCCCATATCAACTCCTCATGTGTCTACGGCTCAGACAGGTTTCTCATCCCTTTCCGTTACAATGGCAGCTGGCGTTAATCAGCCTCTGCTCACCTTGGCCTCATCTGCTACGGCAGCTGCGATCCCAGGGGGACCAACTGCGGTTCCTAGTCAGCTTCCAACCCTTCTGCAGCCTGTGACTCAGCTGCCAAGTCAGGTTCACCCACAGCTCCTGCAACCAGCAGTTCAGTCCATGGGAATACCAGCTAACCTTGGACAAGCTGCTGAGGTTCCACTTCCCTCTGGAGATGTTCTATACCAGGTATTGTTTTGGCTAGCAAAAAGGAGGGCACCAGAGGGTTTGGTTCTAATAGTAAACCATCAAGGACTTGAAAACCTAGTAGTTGAGTGTCAAAATAACTAGCAGTAACAAAAGTGTAGCTGATCTCAACTAGAGAAGCTAATACAGTAAAATTCAGAGAAAGGATAGGATAGTAATGTTGAATGATTCATTTCCATTTTTCTCAAGACACTTCCTTGGAGGAAGATGGTTTTCTCAATATTTGATGTAAGCTGACTAAATGCTAGATATGGCTAATAAGAGAGTAAGTACATCAGGCTACTTTTTTTTTTTATAGGTAAGGTAAATAGAGTTGCCAACATGGTACCAATAAAAAGCTTCAGATTAGCCTGTCTTGATATGACTAGAATGATTACCTTGAAGAGTTTTTGCATTCTCCCACTTTAGATTGGCTAGAAAACTGATATTTTTCTAGAAGGAATTAGTTTGTTCCTCCTATTTAAATCTGAAAGAGGAGAAAAACCAGTAATTTAAAGTGTAGTTGTAGAGTCCCGTCCCCTAAATTGAAACCAGTATACCATTTCATTTCAAGAATCATCTTTAAATCTTCTTTAAATTATTAGAAAGAGATGAGACTACTACTATTCTTCTTTACTATGTGCTTTTGTTTTTTGTTGGGTTTTTTTGTTGGTTTGTTTGGTTGGTTGGTTGGTTTTTTGTGCATGTCTTGCTGTTTTGCTAATTTGATGTCCCAACCTGCACTAACTCACCTTCCTCATTTCTGTCACAGGGCTTCCCACCTCGACTGCCACCACAATACCCAGGAGATTCAAATATTGCTCCCACTTCCAGCGTGGCTTCTATTTGCATCCCTTCTACAGTCCTATCCCCTCCCATGCCGACAGAAGCACTGGCTACACCGGGTTACTTTCCTACAGTGGTGCAGCCTTTTGTGGAATCAAACCTTTTGGTTCCTGTGGGCAGTATAGGAGGACAGGTTCAAGTGTCTCAGCCAGCAGTGAGTTTAGCACAACAAGCCCCCACTACATCCTCCCAGCAAGCAGCTCTGGAGGTAAATGGAATTACTGCATGTTTATATATAAAACACACACACACACACACACACACACACACACACACACACACAATGGGATAAAAATGACAAAGAAGAAACATAAGGTTCCCCTGTTTAGAACTCATGTGGAGACTATTTTCAAACTAACTTCTAAATGACTTTTTCTTCCAGCAGAATGAAATGCCATTGTGGGGGCCTTGTTGCCACTGGCTGTTCTGTTGGGAAGTGAGTGTGCCTTGGAGAAGATTAACCCTATTAGCACTTCACTTCTCTAGCTAGTACTTTAGTCATTATTCTTAATCCTTTCACAAATTCTTGCCATGGCAGTCATAAAAGTATCTTATCCTGCTGTGCTCCCAGTAATCATTTTTACCCTATTAGGAGAAAGATAGGAATCATCTTTGCACTTTGCTCTGCCTGTCCTGTTGCACACTTCTAGGAAGATGCTGGCTGCATGCAAGTTGTACTTTCTCACTCCCTAGCAGCTATGTCGGCTGATGTCACACCATGCAGTCTATACCGAGACTTAGCTTTAGAAACTTCCTTTGGAATTTTAAGACCACTGTCTTTAGATGCTGAATATTGAGAATTACTAGTAAATTTAGTGCTTCTAGGACTTGGGGGGGATAAGAAAAAAAAAGTGTAGCTTATTGGAGATGATGAATAATAAATAAAATGTATTACTGCCAAGACTTCCATTATCCTTTCTATTTACAGAGTACTCAGGGAGTCTCTCAAGTTGCTCCTCCAGAGCCACTTCCAGTGGCACAGGCACAACCTACCACTTTGGTCTCTTCTATAGACAGGTATGTAAAAGTAAAATTCTCCTTCCTTAACTGGTAAGTGGTATAAAACTTCAAAACATCAAACCTTTAAACACTGAACTTTATTTTTCGAAGTGCACATTCAGATGTTGCTTCAGGAATGAGTGATGGCAATGAGAATGTCCCATCATCCAGTGGAAGGCATGAAGGGAGAACTACAAAACGGCATTATCGAAAATCTGTAAGAAGTCGCTCTCGTCATGAAAAGTCCTCACGTCCAAAATTGAGAATTTTGAATGTAAGTGTTGCTACTGTGTGAGTTTCATATAGTTACTTAATGTCATTTAAATATTTCTAAGGCTCAGGTATAGTTATGAAAGTTTAGAATTTTCTAATCACCCAAATAATACTGTTAAATTCCATATTTTTATGGTAAGGCACTATCTACCTTTTAGAAAAAGTTTTAATTTGTAGAACAGAGACTTTACACTCCTTCCAGACCCTTCAATGGAAGATGAGGAAATAGCTCAAAGGCCAATATTTTCTTAACATTTTCTTGCTACCAGTTTAAGAGGTAAATACCAACAAGTCTTCAGGGAATGGTGGTAGCATCAGGCTTAAGTTCAAGTGATAATCTGCATTACTTTCTCAAATTTACTAATGGAATAATATGTAATATGGCTTCTGAGATATGAAGTACTTTTTCTTTTTTTTTTCTTTTTAGGTTTCAAATAAAGGGGACCGGGTAGTAGAATGTCAGTTAGAGACTCATAATCGGAAAATGGTTACATTCAAATTCGATTTAGATGGTGACAATCCTGAGGAGATAGCAACAATTATGGTATGTCTGCATTTGGAGTTCCAAGTTTTGCTTTAGTACTTTTTTAATAACCACTGCCCTAAGCAAATGTGCAATATTTTGTTATCTGTTTTGACAGTTCTGTATTTATTTCAACGTGAATATAATTAGCACACCAAACCTGTGATTTAGAGATATTTTTGTCTAGGACCTGTCTAAGTGTTGAAGAATTAACTTACATATCAATGAATAATAGTACAGGTGGTGTGCAGATAGGGCAGAAGTTACAAAAGTGGCAATTGGAATGACTTAAAACATGAATAACACTCTACTAATCAGACTGACATCACATTTCTTTTACAGGTGAACAATGACTTTATCTTAGCAATAGAGAGAGAGTCCTTTGTGGATCAAGTACGAGAAATTATTGAAAAAGCTGATGAAATGCTCAGCGAGGACGTCAGTGTGGAACCAGAGGGTGACCAGGGATTGGAGAGTCTACAGGGAAAGGATGACTATGGCTTTGCAGGTTCTCAAGTAAGTTCAGCATTCCCATAGTGAAGCTTTGTTTATTTAAAATATTGCTATAGTGTTAAATTTGCCATGCAACATGTTCAATGATACCATATTACATCAATGGCTAAAATTATCAAATATTTATGTCCTCTTTGCATGGGGCCAATTGCTTTGCCCAATCTTTAAGATTGTGTTTAGGGGTGGTGGGGGGAAAGATTGTGTATGAGAATGAATTTGGTCACTTTTGTTTGTTGTAGAAATTGGAAGGAGAATTCAAACAACCAATTCCTGCATCTTCTATGCCACAGCAAATAGGTGAATTTCTTTCCTTTCCATGTTTGCTTTTAGCTTTGACCTAAGAAATTTTATACTAATGAAATCTTAAAGCTTCATGTTGGTGACAATATATAGATAATGCAGTTAAATGGTTTCTTTTTACAGGCATTCCTACCAGTTCTTTAACTCAAGTTGTTCATTCTGCTGGAAGACGGTTTATAGTGAGTCCTGTGCCAGAAAGCCGATTACGAGAATCAAAACTTTTCACTGGTGAAATATCAGATACGGGTAAGGAATTGCTTCTACCACAAACCTCTATCAATCCCATATCATCTCTGCTATATTGGAAGCTTGGTCATCAAGCAGTAATTCAAATGATGACATAGACAATAAAGAAGAGTAGAAAATTGAGATTATAATCAACAGGCAAACATGGAGGAGCAAAATAGAGGATGAATAGAGAGGATTAAAGAACAAGAGCCAGAAAGGACAGCCACCCTAGATACAGCTTGTGTAATAAATAATACGTAGATACAGTAATATGTTTTGTTTCTCCCTTTAGGACTATTGTATATGCTTTGAGGTTGCTCTTTTTTTATCTTTTTTCTCTTTTTTGAAAATTTTTTTAAATTTTCTTTTACCCTCGAAATAGATATTCATACAAGCTAACTTATTTTCATCAAACTGCTCTTTTACTCTGCTGTTTTAGAAAAAGCCTGTCATTTCCTCAGGAGAAGTTTTAAACCTTCTTGGTATGTGGCAGTGTTGGTAACCCAAAAACAGATTGTTAGGACAATTTTGAATCTACCCTTTTAAAATGGACTGATTATGAATTTTGTATTCTCCTTTGCAGTTGCTGCCTCAACATCCCATGGCGCTGGAATGAACTTGTCTCATTCTGCTTCATCCCTTAGCCTACAACAGGCGTTTTCTGAACTCAGACATGCCCAAATGACAGAAGGGCCCAATACAGCACCTCCCAACTTCAGTCATACAGGACCAACATTTCCAGTAGTACCTCCTTCCATGAGTAGCATTGCTGCAGTCCCAACCACAGCAGCAGCCACACCTTCAATATCAGCCCCTGCAACTAGCAGCCCTCTTAATGACATGTCCACATCAGTAATTCAGTCTGAGATTCCAGTGCCCACTGAAAAAGGGATTGGTGGAGTTGCCACCTGCACAGGTGTGATACCGTCAAGTGGTCTCCCTGTACCTCCTATATCTGAATCACCAGTATTTTCCACTGTGGTTTCAAGCGTTACAATACCTACAGTTGTCTCAATATCAACAACATCCCAGCCAGTTCAGGCTTCTACATCTGGGAGTGTTGTTTCTAGCATAGGCACTTTGCCATCTATACCAGTTTCAACGTTAGCCTCTGCTGCGGGCAGTGCTGCTGTCTCAGGTGCTAAGCCTCCACCTGTAGTATCTCAACAAGCGACAGGCAGTACTTCTGGGGTAGCCACGTTAACATCCATTGCTGCCACCACTCCATTCCCGAGCATAGCTTCCCAGCTGCCTCTTCAGCTGAGCAGCAGCACCTCTGCTCCTACTCTAGCTGAAACAGTGGTGGTTAGTGCACACTCACTAGATAAAACATCTCATAGCAGTACAACTGGATTGGCTTTGTCCCTGTCTGCATCATCATCTTCCTCCCCTGGAGCAGGATTATCTAGTTCTGTTTCTCAGCCTGGTGGGGTGCATCCTTTGGTCACCCCATCAGCTATAGCTTCTACTCCTGTCCTTCCTCAAGCAGCAGGACCTACTTCTACACCTTTATTACCCCAAGTACCTAGTATCCCACCTTTGGTACAACCTGTTGCCAGTGTGCCTGCTGTGCAGCAGACACTAATTCATAGTCAGCCTCAACCAGCTTTACTTCCCAACCAGCCCCACACTCACTGTCCTGAAATAGATGCTGACTCACAGCCCAAGGCTCCTGGAATTGATGACATAAAGACTCTAGAAGAAAAGCTGCGGTCTCTCTTTAGTGAACACAGCTCATCTGGAGCCCAACATGCATCTGTCTCACTGGAGACATCACTGGTAGTAGAGACCACTGTCGCACCAGGCATCCCAACCACTGCTGTTGCACCAAGCAAGCTCATGACTTCTACTACAAGTACATGCTTACCACCAACAAGTTTGCCATTAGGGACAACTGGTTTGTCAGTTATACCAGTGGTCACACCAGGACAAGTTTCCACCCCAGTCAGCTATGTGTCCGCCCCAGTCAGCACTACATCAGGAGTGAAAGCTGGAACTGCTCCATCAAAGCCACCTTTAACTAAAGCTCCAGTAAGATTCTTGTTTTGAAATAATTTGATAAATATGATTATTCTTTCCCCCAACCCCGTAAGTGCCTTTTTTCAACTGAGCCTTGCAAATTAGAAATGTAGTTATAAAGCTGGCCTGGCCTATAGTAGACATTAAGTGTTTATTAAATAAATTGAAAATTATTTTAGGATATATATACATTGAACACAAGAGACCTCCTTTTTTTGGAATATGGCAAGATTTGGGGTTAATTATATTACATGATTTTCTAAGGCTATATAATAATCAGGTAAAATACAGACGTTCCTTCCTCATTGGCACCAGCTAAAGAAATCTGTATCCCAAAAGGAAGCTAAATGCTTCTGCTAACAATTATACATAGTAATAGCAATTTACAATGATCTTTGTTTCAGTGAGAATGAAGCAGATTTTCTGCTTTGCTTCAGTTCCACAGGTGTACAATTTGGGGTGTACAAAAACTGGAAGTTGGTGATGAATTTCATATACAGGGAAAAAGAATCTAATCCTAGGAATAAGTTAACTAAAATGTGTTTTCTAATTCCGCTATGGTGGATTTCCTCTCATTCTCTCTTCAGTCTCTCTGATCTTCTCCAAATAACAAGGCTGTGTTTTTTCTACTATATTCTGTGCTTCACTTATCTTTCTGCATTGCCATTGATTGTAAAATTCTTTTTATAGTCGGCCAGTAATAGAGGCTCTGTACAAATTGCTTTATAGTGTTAGATTTCTGATGACTTTTGTTATCAGACCTGCCCCTTGGTTATTTCTGAATTGTTTTCTCGGAAAAGTCTTTGTTTTAGGAAAAGCCTGATGATACTGTACTAAAACAGTGGCTCAAGAATAACTGTGCCTCTCATGTCCATACAGCCTTTGATTCTGTTTTCCCTAGGGAATAACCTTCCACTAAATTTTACTATTCATTTTATTGGTATGTAGTAGTAACCCCATAATAGTATCATGGTTATAATGTCCTTTATTTAAGATAGATACCAGAATATAAGCCAGATGACAATCATGCCTTAACTATAGATATATTTTATTCTTATATTTCTGCATTTGAATTAGTTGATTTACTGGCCAGTATGTAGTCTTTCTCATGGACTTGAATTTCCCTTCATTGTCTGTAGGTGCTGCCAGTGGGTACTGAACTTCCAGCTGGTACTCCACCCAGCGAGCAGCTGCCACCTTTTCCAGGACCTTCACTAACTCAGGTGCCCCAAGACTTGGCAGATTTCTTTTTGTGCTCCTACTTTTTCCTTCACAAAGCTTATTTAAATTCTCCATTGCATGATCTTGGCTTCTGGCTCCTCTTTAGTTTTGACTTAGTAACAACTTTCTCTTAAAACAGTGTATATAGCTAATGATCCAGGCCTTATTTAAAGTAAGAAGCTTCGTGGTTCTTTTGTTCAAGTCATCTAGAACACATTTGATATTAATATTTTTTCATATTTTATGAAGAAAGAAAATAGCAGGGTTTACATGTTACCAGACAAATATAACTCCTGTCATTCACAGTTTTCTAGAATAGTGAAATTGCATCTGATGAATGAGATTAGGCTCTAGACCATTGTGGAAGTAAAAAATTACAAGTAATCAGAATTAACTTTGAAAGTTCCTTAGGAAAAGATAACTGATAATGCCCCTTTTCTGTGAGTTCAGTCAACCAGTTTTTTCTCTAATGTTTGACATTTCTTTCAGTGACCAACAAATAAAGTAATTGGCTTAAATATAGATGGATATAAGGGTCATGTTTCATGAAAAATATGTCTTTTATCTTTCAATACAAAACCTACACAGTTTAGTTAGCATGAGATTACTCATACAGGAACTGAGAGCAGTGACATGAATGTGAGATTCCTGTTTCACACTCAGATCTGCTCATTGGGTCTACCCAATGGTGATCAGAATTGCCTGCAATATTTAAATTATCATTTCCCTTTTCTACCCTACCCCACCACCCCACACATTTAGTTGAAGTCCCGTAAGGAAAGTAGTTATTATGAAGCCATTATAACCATGAAAAAGCTTCTGCCATGAGCAAAGTAGTAAACATTGAAACTAAAACAGGAATTTATTTTAGAATTATATAGAAGAAAAACATAAATTGCTAACACAAGAAGTCTGAATTTATCACTTCTACAGCTGTACAGTAGAATATAAAGAACTTGCCATGATAGAGTAGTAACTCCAAAGAGAACTCACTCCATCAGTCACCACATTTTGGAAAAAATACATTGTGAAAGTCTGTAAGTTAGGGGTTTTACACCTGTTTTCTCATTAAAAACATGTATTCAGACACGTATTCAGGCTCAAATGTGATGAGAAACAGCAAATAAGATGTGAGGAGGTGAGGTTTAGTGGATAATGCCTATATAGAGAGGGAGAAGGATAAATGAAGGCTGTAGAAGAATAAGTGATAGAAGCCAAAATAGATGTGGGATTATGGCCTGTATCAAAAGTAAAAAGTTACGGGCCTTGTGATGAATGGTGGTAAGACCTGGTTAACAGGTTGGAATGCCCAGACCTCCAGTTCCTTTTTGCTGCCATTTATAGGGTATAAGAAGTATAGATTAAGACCTAAAGAAAAGAATAATATCCTTGATAGTGATCAAATACATTAATGCCATCTTTTATTCATAAGGACAAGTTCTCAGAAAGATGAACCAAACTGAAAAAGAAAAAAATTAATCTACCAAAATATCTTGATACATTTTTCAGAATATATATATTTTAAGTTTATTTACTAGCAGGGTGAGAGGCAGAGAGAGAAAGGAAGAGAGAGAATCCCAAGCAGGTTCTGTGCTATCAGTGCAGAGCATAATGTGGGGCTCAGTCTCATGACCCATCAGATCATGACCTTAGCTGTAATCAAGAGTCAGATACTTAACCAACTGAGTCCCCCAGGCACCCCCTGAATATATTTTTAAAGAGAGGACAGGTAGAAACTTTTGTATCACTTTAAGGAACATCAAACATAGACTTCAAAACTGTAAAAACATAAATATGACTGAATTTCTCTAAGGCTTGGGAAATTACATATCAGTCAAGCAATATAAGTTAATTTTTTTTAATTTTTTTTTTCAACGTTTATTTATTTTTTGGGACAGAGAGAGACAGAGCATGAACGGGGGAGGGGCAGAGAGAGAGGGAGACACAGAATCGGAAACAGGCTCCAGGCTCTGAGCCATCAGCCCAGAGCCCGACGCGGGGCTCGAACTCAGGGACCGCGAGATCGTGACCTGGCTGAAGTCGGACGCTTAACCGACTGCGCCACCCAGGCGCCCCGATATAAGTTAATATTTAATATATTGAGTTTTATATTCAGTGACTAGACAGATGTTACATTGTGTCAATCTAAAGCATCAAAGAGTATTCCTTATTTAGATGAGCTATATGTAGTGCTTCTGAATATGCCAAAGACCTCTACTTATTGTAGTTGTTTTGTTCAGTCCCAGCAACCTCTGGAAGATCTTGATGCTCAATTGAGAAGAACACTTAGTCCAGAGACTGTTGTGGGGACATCTACAGTTGGGGTAAGTTTTGAAAATTTTGCCAAAATCTTTCCATAATCCTAATATATCACATTCCTAAAACATACTCTAACCTATTAATACCTTTAACACCTACAGAGTTAAAAGCATTAATTCAGAGTCTTTGCTTATTCCAGCAAACAGAAATAAAGCAGATTAAGATTAACACTGACCCAGTGGTATAACTGTGGAAAATATTTTATTGATTTGAAAGGTACTTTTCTTGTCTTGCCTCTGGTTAGAATTATACCATAGATGAATTCTATGAGTTTTGTATTTATGCTTTGGAGGAAGCTGTGCTTTAAAAGTTAACTTCTTCCTTTTAAGCTTGTGATACAATAATGTTCTGATTAAAACTATTTTTTCTATTATTATCCAAGTTATACTCTTAAGTATCCCATGAGAAAAACAAACAACAATATAGAAGCAACTCAGAATTTTTTCTTAAAATTTTTCTGTTTTTGTTTTTTTTTTTTACATCAGACTTACTTTTAGGCTTAAAAAAAAAAAAGAAAACTCTGTTGGACACAAGTGTTTCTTCACATATACTATATTTCTTTTGCCCTTTATAAAAACCAGAGGAAAGGCAGCATGGCAACAGTTTAAGAGTGACTGAAGCTAAAGATTTTGTGGTATCTGTGTGTATGTGTTTTGCAGCCTGTGTCCATGGTGGCTCCAGCCGCAGTTAGAGAAGCAGGAACACCGCCTCAGAAGGATGGTGAGAAGCATCCTTCTTCCTCTTATGCTATACCATTTCCAGTCCTCTTTATAATTGATTATAGAGTTTACTATCTCAAAGACATTCTTAAGAATGTAGGTGTATTTGAAACAGTTTTAAAGAACAATTTTACATATTTCATAACTTAGGAACTTTAATACTAATATTTGGAACATGTAATATTAGCATGCAAAAGGTAATGATAGTTTCTCGGAATAAGACCCTTTGTTATTAGCTAGGATAGACCCTTGCTAAGAGAGAGAAGGAAATTCAGGCCTATTTATAAAAGTTAATTTACCTTAATCTCTTGGCTTTTATGACACTAGATAGATAGAGGTAGAGATAAGCTTGAGTAGCATAGATGGTAGAAATACAAATATATATTGTAATCCGTTTAAATGTTATTTTTTTTTCCATTTCTGGAGTCTTTAGAATTGGCGTGTTTGTACACAGTCTCTTGGCAAAGCATATTTCCAGATTTTGTAACAACTTAAAATTGCCATAAGAATTTTTATGAGCATGCTCTTGGTCATGAGTTCATATCAGCTACTTCTTTTCTGAATTTTGTTGTAAATCTCTTTTCACTGCATCACCAGTCCCCCAACAAAGTAGGAAATTTAAAACTTCTATTTGCTGTCACCTTTTCTCTTAGAACCATTTATATTCAAAAGGGAAAATAATTAAACATGAGCTGTATTTATTCAGTGTGCTTTTGTGTAACAATATTGTTCCTTTTGTAGTTTATCCATTCTCCTCACTACCACCTACATATGTTTCCCTGTATAACTATTAATAAGATTACCTGAATACTCAAATCTTTTCTTTCTTCCTTAAATTCTGAATTTCACTTAAAACCTCTCTAAATTATCTTCAAGGCAATTATATTCTGAATCCACTCTCATTTTAAAAGAAGTGACTTGAAAATCAATGGAGGGGCACCTGGGTGGCTTAGTTGGTTAGTGTCTGATTTCGGCTCAGGTCATGATCTCACAGTTCATGAGTTCAAGCTCCGCATCGGGCTCTCTGCTTTCATTGAAAAGCCCATTTTGGATCCTCTTGTCTCTCTCTGTCTCTGTCCTTCCCCCGCTCATGTGCATGCCCTCCCCACCCACCAAAAAATAAATAAACATTAAAAAAAAAAATCATTGGAACAGACTAGAGAAGTTTAGAAATGGACAAACTATAAAGAAGAAATATGAAAAAGGTGGGCTTTTAAATCAGTGAGAAAATGCTAGGATATTTCAATAAATGCTTTGTGACAACTGGACAACCATCTGGAAGAAAGCTTAGATGCCAGCCTTGACCAACATAAATTCCAAATGGGTCAAAGATGAAAAATGATAATGTAAAATAGTGCTGTAACAAAACATACAAGAAATCTTTTTCTTTTCTTTTTTTTTTTTTTTTAACTGTCTGAAGTAGGATCAACAAACTTTCTGTAAAAGGCCAGAAAGTTGTATATTTCAGGCTTTGCTGGCCATATAGTCTCTGTCACAATTACTCGAATCTCCTATTGTAACCCAAAAACAGCATAGGCCATACGTGAATGAATGAGTTTGGCTCTGTAGTCTAATAAAATTTATTTACAGAAACAAGCTGTGGGCTGAATTTGGTCCATGATCATAGTTTGCTGATCCCTGATACAGAAGCAATAATAGATTCAAAACTTTCTGCATGGAAAAAAAAAGCCATGATGTCCAAAAATAAATGAAAAACTGGGCAGTGGTGGGTATTCATATCACAGAAAAGACTAGTAAGTGATAGCATTTCTGAACCTCTCATTGGTAAACTTAGAAGTTTAATAGCCACCAGTGACTTAACACAACCTCTTTAGAGATCAATTTAGTAATGTCTCTCCAAGTTTTAAATGGGTATGATTCAGCACATCCATTCTTAGGTATTCCACAGATTCATAAGAAAATACTTGGTAGAACACTTATTATAGCAAGAAGTTCTGAAAAACTTAAATGTCCATCCACAGAAGCCTGTTTAAAATATGGTACTTTGTATACATATAGCATACATACAGACAGACATAAAACACTGCAGCCATTAAAAAGAATGAGAAATCAATATGGAATGCTAAGATACATTGTAAAAATATCAAAATCAGTGTTGTATAAAATTGAGCTTACTAGTTGTATAAAATAAAGAAAATGCTTGTATATGTCTATATTATCTCTAGGAAAAAAACCTCAAGTGGTTGTCCTTAGAAAGGATGACCTAGGTGGCTTGAAAGTTGTTCAAAACTATTTATCAGTGATTCTGACACCTTGTACTTCCTGTTCTAAGATTTTTGCCTAAGTGTTGTATAAACCAAGTTGTCATAGATGATTTTCATTTTAAAAATGCGTCTTTGATATCCTAAGTAAAATCTCATAATTCTCTTCATTTACTTTTATCTTTGAGTTAAAGAATGAGTAATTGAATTCTTGCTACCCATTAACCTTAGTTTTTATAGTATCTCTTATGTTGTAGTTAAGCCTTGAAGCTGCTTTGCTTATATGTAACTTTTATTCCTCCAAACAATAACATATCATCTGTACATGTGTACAAGGAAAAGTAGAGGACTAATGATAAATTTTCAGACTTTGACAGTATTTCACAAACAGTATCTTTCAGACTAAAGGTATCTAGTAAGGAGAGTAAATAATAACTATTTTCCTTTTTGGACAAAGCCCAAGGAGAAAAGAAGGTAAGGAAATTTTCCTTGCCTCAGACCATTTTTCTCACCTCATAGGTACTTTTATTTTGCTGTATTTCTGACCAAAAGGAAAAGAAGCTAACTAAAACGAAATGCTAACTTAAGTTCTTTTTCTCCTCCATGTACTTGTTTCAGTTTCTCAAATCACAGAAGGTCCTGTCCTAGGAACTAGTTCAGGAACTGGTGTTTTTAAGATGGGACGATTCCAGGTAAGACCATTACTTTCCCTTGCCTTGATATCCTCTTTGGGGTGAATAGGTATATAATAAAATTATTACTTACCTTTGGGACACAATTGCCAATTTGATGATATATATCTTTTTTATAGTTCTTTATCATTTTACCCTCTTAAAAAGAATACATGTTTAAAAAAAAAAAAACCTTCTGGGGCACCTGGCTGGCTCAGCCAGAAGAGCATGTGACTCTTGATCTCGGGGTCATGAATGTGAGCCCCACATTGGATGTAGAGATTGCTAGAAATAAATATGTAAACTTTAAAAAATAATAATAATACATGCCAATTAAAGGAATGCAGAATACTTAGTACAGTAGAGAAACAGTATACTGTCTACCCCATCTTCCTACCTACCTCCTCCACCCAGGATTACTTTTTAGGGTGTGTTTCCCCTCATTCCTTTTTCTATGTACATGTGTGTACAATTGACCCTGCTTTTCTGAATGAGATTTTATAGCTTTTTTCCCAATCTAGTAGTTGGTTCACCTAACCCATTCTCCTATTATTAGTCATTAGGTTGTTTCAAATTTTTCTATCGTAATAAGTAATGTAACAGGAAACATTTTCTATGTTTAGGACAATTTTTTAGGATTAATTTCTGAAATGAAAATACTGAGTCAACATCAGGTGATACATTGTTTTCTTTTCCTAGGTGGTCCAACTAGTGATTTATTTATTTTTTTATTTTTTACTACTTTCACAACTGCTTTCCAGTTATTCTCATGGTAGCACTGGGAGTTGGGGATAGCAGTTGATATTTTTCTCATTTGTAAACTGAGGTTCTGAGAGTTTGTACTGGGCTGAGTTTATAATACATGGACAAATTAGAACAAGGATCTGGATCCTCCTTTTGGTCCCATTTAGTTATGTTGATTCTTGAAGCTTAGCTGGCATTTAACATTCATTGTCTTTAATCTTTGTAGTTTTCATATTCACAGGCAACCTTCAAGATTCCATTCCCTGTTATTTATATTTCCACAAAGACATAAATCTAAGTCTTGTATATAACATGAGATCTGGAGGTAAATTATTAACTTAGTAAGCTTAGCCAGCCACTGAGAATCTGTATCTAATCTGTACATCTCAGTACAGATCTCGTTCTCTATAATGGTATTCCATTTATTTTCACAGTGAAGGTGGAGGGGCTTATGTAAAGAGATACTGACTGGGAAATAAAGTGATTCAATTTTTTTTATTGAATTTTTTTATTATTTTAATTCAATTTTTTATCATTTTAAAAATTGAATATTGGGGATTTTGTTTTTGTTTTTTTTTTTTTAATTTTTTTTTTCAACGTTTATTTATTTTTGCGACAGAGAGAGACAGAGCATGAACGGGGGAGGGGCAGAGAGAGAGAGGGAGACACAGAATCGGAAACAGGCTCCAGGCTCTGAGCCATCAGCCCAGAGCCTGACGCGGGGCTCGAACTCACGGACCGCGAGATCGTGACCTGGCTGAAGTCGGACGCTTAACCGACTGCGCCACCCAGGCGCCCCGGGGATTTTGTTTTTTAATCTCACTTTTGTCTCTTTCCATCAGGTTTCAGTTGCAATGGATGATGTCCAAAAAGAGGGTAAAAATAAGTCAGAAGATGCAAAGTCTGTTCATTTTGAGTCTAGCACTTCAGAGTCCTCAGTACTATCAAGTAGTAGTCCAGAAAGTACCCTGGTGAAGACAGAGCCTAATGGGATCCGTAGCATCTCATCAGATATGCCAGATAGTGCCCACAAAACTCCTGCCTTGGGAGCAAAGTCAGAAACTGGGCAGCCTACAAAGGTAGGACGCTTCCAGGTGACAACTACAACGGACAAAGTAGGTCGTTTCTCTGTATCAAGAACTGAAGACAAGATTGCTGAGGCAAAGAAAGAGGGACCAATGGCATCTCCTCCTTTTATGGATTTGGAACAAGCTGTTCTCCCCGCTGTGATACCAAAGAAAGAAAAGCCTGAACTGTCAGAGCCTTCACATCTGAATGGGCCATCTTCTGACCTGGAGGCCGCCTTCCTAAGCAGGGATGTGGATGATGGTTCAGGTAGTCCACACTCCCCCCATCAGCTGAGCTCAAAGAGCCTCCCTATCCAGAATCTAAGTCAGAGCCTTAGTAATTCATTCAACTCCTCTTACATGAGTAGTGACAATGAGTCAGATATTGAAGATGAAGATTTAAAATTAGAGCTGCGAAGACTACGAGAAAAGTAAGTGTATTTTCTTCTGTAAAAGAATAATGGCAGAATCATAGTAAGATCTAGCTCCTGGTGCCTAGTATTCTTTTCACTGCAATATGCTTATATCTCATTTCTTTCAAACAGAGGGTGCTATGCAAAAGCTAGTTTCCTCAATGTAGTTCTCATTAGGTCTTGTATTTATAAGGACCCGTAGCATTTCTACTTCTAGAACTTCTTCAGCACCTTTGTATTATTACTATATTATTGTTTTTCTTAATAGCACTTTTTATCATTATTAACCTAATTTAATAGTCTACCAAATGAATCTAGTAATGGATGTAGATTATGTGGCAGGTTTTATAGATCATATTTGACACACTGGTCCAGAGTAGCAAATTCAGTACTCCTGTGTATGCCTCAAAAATCAGGAAATCTTTTCTCCTAACATATCATCAACTACTTGTTGGTTAGGAGCTTATTGGAATTTGGCTTGGGTAATGGAGGCCAAACAATATGAAGTAACAAACTAGAATCTCAAGGTAATAGAAGAAATTACGTTAAGTACACTGAGGGGGGAAAGATTCATGAGTAAGTAAATACTTGAATAGAGTTTAAAGAATATGTTGTTAAAAATCATTTGAATAAAAGTGATTATAATGTTTTTGATTCATGTTTGGTTATCTTTCACAGACATCTTAAAGAGATTCAAGACCTGCAGAGTCGCCAGAAGCATGAAATTGAATCTTTATATACCAAACTGGGCAAGGTTCCCCCTGCTGTCATTATTCCCCCAGCTGCCCCTCTTGCAGGGAGAAGAAGGCGACCCACTAAAAGCAAAGGCAGCAAATCTAGTCGCAGCAGTTCCTTGGGGAATAAAAGCCCCCAGCTTTCAGGTAAAAAGCCATGGACCAGGTCAGCCTTGGCTGTCCCATCTTTTGTTTCTGTCTCCTGACTCTATATGTAACCTATTGAGCCATTTGTTGTTTTTGTTAAATTTCAGAGGAGTTTGACTTTCCTAATATTCTTGCTTCCTTGACCTTTCCACTCCTTATATTTATAGTACCTCTATTTGTTGAGTCTATGGAAGGGTGAGTACTATGGCTTATTCCATTGTAACCCATATTACTAACTACCTCCATTACCCAAGCCACTTACAGTTGTTCTTAAGGATAAAACACTTAGCATTGCCTGGTTACTCCTATAATTCACATTACACCAAACTCATAGGCAATTGGAAAAAAATACTTTTAGTAAAAGTTCAGGTAAAAGAAAAAACTTTTAGTAAAAGTTCAGGTAGGTTTTTCCTTTCAGTGAATGAATTATCCATAATTGCAGCTGGCATGAATGTAAATTTCATTTAGATGTTTGGATATGTCTTAGGTGGTAATTTTCCTGATTAAAGTTTTTATTTCATTTATGTATATTGAAATAAAGAACTTGCTCGTGGCTGTAATAAAAAATAATTCATAATCTCTTGTAATGAACTACAGTTTGTCTATTTTAATGGTGATAGAATTCTTACCCTTTGGTGAAATTATGAGAATGTTAACAGATAATTGGTTGTAAAGTGAAAGACAAATAAATTTATACCTCATAGTTGTTCTCCAGGTCTAATATAAATGTGTTGGAAAGCAGTTGCAAACTTCTTAGCAGCTTTCCATTCTCTGGAAGCTTTCAGAAACCCAAACCATTTCTCTAGTACATCAGAACCCATTCATTAGTAGAAATGTGATTATAAAGGATATCAGCTAATTTAGATCCTAATCCCAATTTTGACATACTTTTTGAGTGGCCTGCTAGTCTGCCAATTAGTAGGGAACAGAGAAATTGGTCAATTTCAAGACAGCTGACTAGGGAATAAAAGTCACCTGCCACAAATAATTTTAAATATGTATTACTCTGTAGTCATCTGCATTATTTTTGACACCACTTTTGTACTTGACCTGACACATACTTAGAAGGAAAACTAAGCAGAGACTGCCCACCAAACCTATTTGTATCCTGCACCAATTCAGTGTTACAGGTTTTTAAAAGCAATGATGGAATTGTAAAATGGAATTCTCCCATATCCACTGCGTGTTCTACTCAGCTGAGACTTGGGAACCATCTAGGTTAACTAAACTAAAAGTCTTTCGGAATAGTTACTCCAGCCCTATTGCCTATTGATTCTCATGTCATTTCTCACTTCCCCTCCCATTAGTGAGGCCTTTTGTTCTTTCATCACTTACAGCTTTTGACCTATTATTAGTCACTTAGTGGGACACATTGAAGAATAAGAATATAAGAATAGTGCCTGTTAAGTTTATTGGGAAAGCTGGACATGTTTCCTCATGCCACTTTATCTTTTGGCAGGTAACCTGTCTGGTCAGAGTGCCACTTCAGTTTTGCACCCCCAGCAGACCCTCCACCCTCCTGGCAACATCCCAGAGACTGGGCAGAATCAGTTGTTACAGCCCCTTAAGCCATCTCCCTCCAGTGACAACCTCTATTCAGCCTTCACCAGTGATGGTGCCATTTCAGTACCAAGCCTTTCTGCTCCAGGTCAAGGTAAGCAATCAAAGCAATCAACATGTTCTAAAAACATGAAAATGGAGATACTGCCATATCCGCGACAAAAGCCTGATGAGCATCCTATTAAGGTCAGTTGGAAGACCGGCTGACCAGAACACAGCCTGTGTATTAAAACACTTTCGGATCTTGAGCTGGAAAGGGAAGTTGAGTAATGATTATATTAGGTGAATTCATTGCTCCTATCAGATGAAATAGGTTTTTTCAAAGGATTACAGCAAAAGGTTGTATTGTGACTTACATGAGGACTTAACCAAATTAATGACTCATTTGGGATTTGCAACATAGGCTTTAATACTAGACTGAGATTTCCTGGACCAAAATTAAGGAGTTTTAGCAGTTTCTGAAAGCTAATGCATTTGCCTAGCCAGTGTAGACTTTTTTAACTTGTAAGTATGGGAGTAGCATTCTAAGATAAATAGCCCTACAATTCAATTTGTTACCTGTAATCTACTTCCTAAATAGAGTTTTATTTATTAATGATCATTTAAAACCTTCCTGTAGCAGAACGCTGCTAGTAACGATAGAACGAGAATTGGAAGAACTTAGGTGTCTGGGTGGAAAAGAATAAGAGAAGAGTTAGGTAACTTGCTTAGGTGCTTTTGCCACAATATCACAGATAGTAAAGGTAGATCATCATTGGACTAGGTAAATGTGCTTGCTTGCCGGGAGCACAAACCAGCTAGCATTATTATTCACACTGGGAAAAGCTTCAACATTTTGCAAAGTAAGGGAATTGAGACCTAATATTTCCTGTCCTACCTATCTGACCTTTCCCTAGAAGCTTGTTCTTCTGTGTGCCATCTTAGCGCATTTCACCACTCCAGCCTCAAGTTTCTAACATCTTGTAGTTGTGTTCTGTCTCTTCTCTCTCTGTTCTTCCCTGTTTTTCCCCTCTCACAGGCTGTGCGAAGTTTAACTGTGCATCTGAGCAGGTGACATTCAAACCTGGTGGCAGGAGGACCCGATTTCTGAGTACGCCCTGCTTGGCTCTTTGTGTGTAACACCTTTACTCCTTCCTCGTCCTTGTTTTTCTGCTGCTTGGATCTGATGTTTCATGCAGTCCATTTTCATTTGTCTCTTTGTATATCATCTACTCAGTGGCTTGGCTGAACTATTACCCTCAGAAGTTTGGGTCTCTATATTAATTATGATAAAAGATGTAGAAATAAGAACAGGTTTCTATAAACTTCAAAATAACTTTCTGGTAGAATTGCTTCTTTATAGATCCATGACAGAGTAGAAAAGGTGGTAATGCTGTATAGACTGCAGGGTCATTTGGGATAAAGACTGAAGTCCATAGTCCTACTCACTTCCACCCCTTGCTTTGGCATTAGAAGTGACAGAAAGCATCTTGACCACCAATGTACTTAGATCCTGGCAGCAAGGGAAAATTACACCCTATTTTTTTATTCTTTTTCCGAGTAGGTTGAAATCTTTTTTTTCTTCTCAATTAAGCCTGGCCATGTGTCCATTGAAATGATGCTAGAATCTCTTCATTGGATCCTTTCACCACCCTTAACCTTCTAACTCCCTAAAATTGATAGTTCAAAAAGGGTTTCAGTGTAGTTATTCTGATCAAGCATTTATTCTCAAGAACCAGAGCCCAGGGCCTGCCAGTGAAAATGGTCTCTTTAACATGATTGCTAGGATTTCTTAGCTTTCTTAAAAGCAAGGCACAATAGTAAATCACCCAATTTCCCAGCCCATCTTCCCCAAATATGAAATAAAGATGATGCCTCTCTCGTAGGGCTGTTGTACAAAAAAATAAGATCATGTGCACAAACACTGGTAGCTCTTGGGAAGCACACATCATTTTCTTCTAATTAGCCAGTGCCTACCTGAAACATAGTAGGTAGTCAATAAATGTATATTGGAATAAAAATTTTAAAAACAAAAATCAGGCTCAAGTAGAAAACCTTTGTTAGAGTTTGGTTAAAGATCTTCACTGCTGAGGCCTCAAACTTCTGATGTGGTTACTGAAGTGCTTTTTAAATGCATGTGCTAAGGACATCACTGTTTCTGAGGTTCAGAGGTCCTTGGGCCTCATGTATCACTATCCAGGACTATTGAACAAAGAAGGAGGTGGAAGACATTATCCAGTTTGGTAGTTTTCCAAAGCATGTGTGATGTTTGGTTAGACCAGGCTGGACCAAGCACGTTAGCACCTTGACACTTAAATAAGCATATGTCCAGCTGGCAAGATGAGATGACATTAATAGGAGGAGACAAGTGTTTCAAAGTAGGTTGCTGTATGCTATACAGCCTGAAACGTCGAAGAGGGAAGAAAGAGAACCAAGGCTTTTTTGTGAAGAACAATGTGAGTGATACATTTCAGATTAATTAATTAAATAAATTCTCACCACACTCTTAAAGGTAGGTGGTAGCACACTATTGTTCAGATGAAAGTGGTTAGAAATATTAAATCTTACCACTTCCTTTTGGGTCTAGAACGAGAGGCCCTACATCTGTTGAAGGCACACAAGTATACATCATGTAAGCCTTGGTAAACAAATTACGAAAGGCAGATTTAAAGCAAATAGGGAAAGGAAAACAGGCATTTATTTACCAGGTGTGGGGTCTTTTTAGTTTGGGATGCGTTATTCTGTGCTCTCAAAATAGATTATGGTTTGGAAGCACGGCTTGGCTTAACGCTTTATTTATGTTCAAAAGTTGCTTGTTTTCCACATACTTTTAAAAATTTTTCTGGAGGGGACGGGGTTAGTATGTATGTCTAGGATTTGGAAATATGTTAGCTGATTTAAAAGGATTCAAAACTGTAACAATGGTACTGTCAAGTCTACTGTGGTAGAATTGTTTAATGCATTTTATCGAGTGCTTTTTAACAACCCAGCAGGAGAAACAGAAAGTGGGACGGGGTCAGTGGAAAGACTGCTTGGGTATTTGAAATTCAAGCAGTAAGACCTGAGAGACTGGAGTTCTTCCCCCAGCTTCCCCCAGAACCGTAGTGCAGAGCATTACTTTTAGATACAAAGACTGGTGGAAGCTCAGCCGTCAGCCAGGTGCCACTGGCCATCAGATAACCACGTGAAGGCTGACAGCTAGCAAGCTGCGTCCCATAGAACTGTACCCATAGCAGGGACTCCCAGGTCCCACCAACCTGTCTCTCTTTCTGCTTTCTCTTGCTGGCACTTTGTGTGCTGTTTGGAGATTCTAAATATTTTACACTGATGTTTCTTTGTCTTTAACACGTTGCTCTCTCTTTGTGCTTCAGGGAAGATGGTGAAAAAAGTCTGTCCTTGCAACCAGCTCTGTAGTAATTATCTTTTCTTTCTGTTATTTTTGGTCCTTGATTGCAAAGCCTGTTATCCATGAATTCTTGGAACCCTGAAGCTTCACAACACCCTCATTTCCCAACTTCCATCTGTCTAGTTCTGCACCCTGTTCTAATATATTTTTTAACATGCTTAATTGCTGACCTCTGGCTATCCTTACAGATTAAGAAATCACCTCCTAGTCAATGCTCTCACATGATGACCCTCTGTGATCCTGGCTTTGTGACAATTATGGATTGATGATGCCCATGATAGAGAGAGAGAGAGATCAGGGATACCTGGCTCTTTGGGGAGAGCCCTTTAGTTAGCAGATATGTGCCAGCCGCTGTTCTCCCACTGGAAAATCAGCACTGGTCAAAACATAGAAAAGTCCGCATCCTCATATCACAGCAGGAGGCGTCTGCTAGATTGGGGAGGAGAAAAGCACTACTTCGTAGAGTCTGGCTTCTTAGGCTGATGGCTTCTCATTAACGTGCATGCAATTCAACTACCCAATCGGCCACCTAGACAGTCAGAAAACTCTGTATTTGGGGTACTGGGCAATAAGCTGTGACTCATAGTAGGTTATCGTTCATGGGATCTGGTGGTGGGACACGGGGGAAATGTATTATGGCAGGAGAAAAAAATGGATTTGGGGTGGTAAAATATATACTACTTCCTAGAGCTTTGCAGCAATACTGAGAAAGGTCTAGAGGCTACTCAGTGTACTCTCTGGAAGGCAAGCAGCATCCTCAAAAATATGTGTATTATAAGTGTTTTTAAACCATTTCCTACTAAAGTGGACTAAATGCACTATCCATGCTTCTAGCTTTTGTAGTCAACTTTTCCCAGGCATTAATTTCTGGTCAGAGAAGGATGTTTGTTTCCTTCTTTAATGGGAAAGCCTGTTTTCAGAAGCCAGAATAAGGTTAACTGTATGGCCAACCTCCTCATAGTATAAACCCCGCCTTCGTAATCCAGTACTGTGTAAGACAGATGAAAATGAAGAATGAAATTTGGTTGTAAAGGAGCCTCACAGCATCAGAGACGACTAGCATGAGACTAGAGAGGTGTGACCCCGGCATGAGCTCTTTGTGAATAAGCTGTGTTCACCTCTACTGAGCTGCTCATATTTGGCTTGTGACAGTTCTTCTCACTTGTGATTGTTTCTGGTTTTCATTTTGATTGTCTCACTCATCAGCAAGCTCACCAAGCAGTTATTGTTCAAACAGGAAAATGGCCCTCATGCATGTGATACGCTTGCTTTCTGGATTCTATTACTGTCACGACTGCCACCCTCATTGCTTGTGCTTCCCACTCTGTGCTTCCCCACCACGGTCTCTCTTGCTTTTCAAGGAAAGCTGTTTGTTTCCTGTGCTTTTATCCTTTTCCACTTGGGTTTCCTGTCCCACAGGAGAACTTACTCTGCCCTTTACGCTGTATGTGCAGTAGCTATCCCCTTGTGGCTCCAGTGGGCCCTCAGAAGTGAGCTAATACACACACTGCAGTAATCCATGTCTTGCCTTGGTGGTAAGAAGCATGTGACCTTCCTCACTCTGCAGCTTCACCTCAGAATTAGCTGTTCCTCTAATACAGACGTGCTTGTGTGTGCCATTCCCAGGGCAGTGGGGTATAAACTTGAGACCAGCAGTGGATTATAAAGGGCTTTTAAATGGCAGAGTTGCTTCGGGCATGCTGCTGTGCTCTGGTGCTGCTTCGACCTGGAAAGCAGGAAAATGTATGCATTTATTTAGCCCCCAGCATTATTTGGATATCTTAAGGCCTAGTGGCTCACAACTTACCTTAGTAGCTTTTATTTATTCTGCAGCAAATGTGAATTCTGGTAAGAAAGTGGGGGGTGAGGGAAAAAAAACAAGATTATGACTTTTCTTTCCCTCTTCCCTAAAACTTGCCTCTTCGAATAATCTTCAGTGTGCCCTCCAGCAGAGCCGAAATCAGGCAGGACACAGACTCCTTCTTCCTTTCTCATCAAACCATAGAAATAGAATTCCTTCATCATAACCTGAAAGCTTCCTCCTTCCCTTTGCACTCCTTCCTCAGCTGAATGTTCCTGTTGCTTCCACATACAAGTGCTTGCTTGCTCTCTGGGAAAGGGGGGAACGGGTGAGAATCCACAAACCAATTGAACCAATTGAGACTGAGGTCATCTTCAGGAAAACCATGTGTTCCTGGAGTTGAAAGATTCAGGCACACCACAGAGAACCTTCTTCATGACTAATCTTGGTTCTTAACTCATAGGCAACTGGGAGAGGTTGAAGCCTTCATTCCTCCCGAGTTTGTTTACAAATTTGTGTGTACGGGTCCAGGTGAAAAAGGTTTTTTGAACCGAGCATGCTGTTTCTTTTATCACCTCTTTCTGTTAAAGAATGGCTAAAGACTGTGGCACAGTATCCACGTGGTGTGGGAAGCCCATCTTTTCCTGGGCCAAGCATCTACCTTTGCTTTCCTTTAACTCCTACTTTAACCCTGCCTCAGTGCTCGAGAAATCCTCTTTTGCCCTGCATTCTGCAGCATTCTAGAGCCTCACTGACCATACCACACCTCCCTCATCAGCGTGATGATGGGAATAGAGTACTGAAACTTACTTTCTGTACTCTAGATGCCATGGGAATGGGCAGAAAGGGGTCCCTCCCCTTTGTGCCTACCACCATCTTGAGTTTTTTAGCCTCATCTGCAACTCCTGAAGAGAACCTGTTTTCATTACCCTCTTATGCCAAAACATTGGCTAAACAAGACCTTGGAACCTTCCCGTCTTGCATGGCTTCCCAACTCATCCTCTCCCCATTCAGTGGCTTGCCATTCATCATCCTGTGAAGTTTTCCCTCTTCCTGAAGCCAAAACCCAACCTCCTTTTAATGCTTGTATTCTGTTGCTTCTTTTAATCCTAGGGACCAGCAGCACAAATACTGTCGGGGGAACAGTGAACAGCCAAGCCGCCCAAGCTCAGCCTCCTGCCATGACGTCCAGCAGGAAGGGCACATTCACAGATGATCTGCACAAGTTGGTAGACAATTGGGCCCGAGATGCCATGAATCTTTCAGGCAGGAGAGGAAGCAAAGGACACATGAATTATGAGGCAAGTCTTCTTCCCTCCTTGCCATTTTCCTAATCTGTCAAGAGTATCACTTAGCACACATCTGAATTCAGAGAGGATATCAAGTACCCAGGCTAGTGCTTAACATTTCATGCCACAGCCTTCTGTAGTAGCTCATGACTTTTAACCCCTTTAGAAACAAACAAAAATCACCCGGTTGCCCTTTTATTTTTCTTCCCTGAATTTCTAGCTCCCTGTTTGTCAACTAAAGTTTTTTCTCCCCCTTTCTTTCGAAGCCTTGAACTACATACACATATGTACACAAGCACATGACTCTGCCCACTTCCACTCAGAATAGTTATTCTAACCTAACATGTTAAGTATAAAAAGCCGATAATTATTATGGAAGGTTTGGTGCGAGTTTTGGTTTCGCTATACCCTGTAAGATTAGACCAGCCCCAGTCCTAGAATTTTATTTCAGTACTACCCATTTCACACCCATGGGTTACACCCACACTGGACTTTACATGTAGTTGTTTTGTTTTCAGGGCCCTGGAATGGCAAGGAAGTTCTCCGCACCTGGTCAGCTGTGCATCTCCATGACCTCAAACCTGGGTGGTTCTGCCCCCATCTCTGCTGCATCAGCTACCTCTCTAGGTCACTTCACCAAGTCCATGTGCCCCCCACAGCAGTACGGTTTTCCAGCTCCCCCCTTTGGCACTCAGTGGAGTGGGACAGGTGGCCCAACACCACAGCCACTTGGCCAGTTCCAACCTGTGGGAACTGCCTCCTTACAGAATTTCAACATCAGCAATTTGCAGAAATCCATCAGCAACCCCCCAGGTTCCAACTTGCGGACCACTTAGACCTAGAGACATTAACCGAGTAGATTTGGGGGCAGGAGATGGAATGCTGAGGGGTGGGCGGGAGGGGGGAATGGGAAAGTAGCCTATATACTAACTACTAGTGCTGCATTTAACTGGTTATTTCTTGCCAGAAAGGAATGTTTTTAATACCGCTTAGAGCCCTCAGAATTGAGAATCTCCCTCCCCCTTCACCATTTATTGGAGTGGAACAAGAGGGAAAGAGCAGCTTTCTTGTGATGGGGCGGTTTCAAACTATGCTTTCCTGTTCTCTACACCCAATAGCAAGGGCTAGGAAAGAGAATCATTTATCAGAAAGCCACAAGAGAGCTCAGTCAGTGGAAAAACCAAACCCCATCTGGATTTTCAAATGGGTGGAGCTCTTAATGTTGGTACCCACCCCAAATCCCTTATTCCCTCAAGAATCCAAACCACAACACAAAAAAACAAACAAAAAACCTATTGGGCTCTCTCCTACCCTGTTCCCCCCTCCCTTTTTTTTTTCTTTCTTTGTTTCTTCTTTTGTTTGTTTCTTTCTTTTTGCTCTTTAGAACCCAGTGAAAAACACCAGGGGACTGAGGTTTCAACCCTTTCTTATGATAGGTCATTAGTGCTTTTAAGCAAATGATATTAGCAGCTTTGACTGCAGCATTAGCAATTAGGAAAAAAAATTAAGTTCCCTGCGGACATGTAACTTTGCCATCAGTTTTGATGTGGAAACACTGTGATATATAAATGTTGTTGGACAACAGTAGTTTTAAGAGTAAAATACGAAAGGTTTAAAAAGTTGAAAAAAAGCAAGCTCTGTCCTTTACTTATTGAGACACTTTAGCTTTTTCCTTTGTATTTCCATTGTAGTAGATAAATAAATGTGAATGTAAGATTGTATAAATTACTGTACTTGAATACTTCTGTTCTCCCAGTATTGCTTGCTGGATATTTTAGTGCCTTGGACTTCTACTGCTTCTGCCATTAGCACCAACTTCTCATCAGACCCCAAATCAGCAGAGGGCGTATGGAAGGATAATAGGTCCATGTGACCCCAGCAGAGGATTATGCCAAAGGGAAACTGAAAGAGTATTTTTTTTTTCTTTTAAGTCATTCAATTTTGTCTAGAGCAGGTGTAAGATGAGCAGGGTGAGAAGTTAAGTTGACATCAGTGGTTGAAAGCAGAAAGTTCTGTTTCAGGAACAGTGAGGAGGGGTTTCGTAACAAAATTGGACAATTTAAAAGATTAAGGGTGGTGTGTGATAAATGAAGAAAAAGGAAGACTAAGAATGGGAGAACAAACTCGTTATGAAGATATGTGATGCCTGGCCTGTGGGTGCCATAAGCCTTACTTGAGCCAGGCTGGAACAGACAAGACCTAGTAGAAATGGCTGAATATAAAGGGAGTGGGGGCTAGTTTTTAAGTTGGGAAACTGATAGTGAAGAGTCACAGATGGAGAAAGTTGCTCTAAGAAAAACTGTATGGATTGCTTTCCTCTTGTTGCAAATGTCTCCTGCATTTCCCAGCTTGGGGTACTGTATTTTGTGGAAAGTGGACCCACATCTGAATTAAGCATTGTAAGAAAGAGTGCTTATTCCTACTCATTTCCTATGTGATGTCCAGATGGTTGCAGAATCCTAAGTCTGTTGTGCCACCTCTTTTTCTAGAATTGCAACTGATATTCTCACATTTTCATATAAACAAATACTCCCCTTAAGTAATAACTGCAACCAATCAGTATTATTTAGTGCTATGCCTAGTTGTAATGGGCAGTTCTGTTATTTTCAGAGCTTTCAGGAAATACTCCTAATTGGCTATGTTTAGATCTCTGTTATCTCTGAAGATGGGGAAAGAAGCTAGAACTCTTAATTTAGGGGGTGCTTCTTTTCACTTGAGTTGGGAAATTAACATAGTTCTGATCTCTGACCCACCTCAACTGGCACATCCCAGGAATCCCCACAATAGGAAGAGCCTGGTTGGCTGTCCTGTCCTGCCGTTCCTTCATGGGTCCTATATTAAGTTAGCCTAGGTCCCAAAGACGCAAATGAGAGCTGAAGGTTTAGGAAAGTAGAAATTAACAGGGGTTCCAAGCCCTACTTCAAAGCTGTTTACTTATTTATTCTCTGCTTAAGATCCTTGGGGAGATGGTAAGAGTAAGAATAGAACAAAGAAGGTGCTGAGTAAATGAGAAACGGACCACCTAAGATGAATGAAACTATACTTTCTACTGGAGGAACGAGGGAACCAAATGCAGCACATTATTTTTTGTTATTTTGGCTTAATTTTGAGATCTCTTCACTTACACACAAAAAGTAAGAACTGGTTTTATTTACTGTTGATTTTTCTTCCCTCCTGTGGATGAAATAACTGAAGCCTAGAGGAATGAACTAGCGCTACTGAACTGTTTAAATTATTTTTGTGTTAATAGTACACTTTGAGTATCTTTTTCCACATTACAAAAATCTTTCTGAATTATAAATGTTTTCCTTACATTATTTAACAATGTACACTGTTTAGAAAAACAAATAAACTAAATTCAAACCTTGGGGGTTTCTCAGCAGCCGTTAATTGTACATTTTGCACTAACTCTGGGTGTTGCGCTTCTTGTAAGATTGCGCTTTGTGCTTCAGTTTGTTACCTTTGTAGACTTATTTAATGAAACCATTCAAATAAACCAAACTTGCTTTTGTTGAGCTGTGGGCTTTCATTTCCAGCAAATTCCTTTTTCATGATCTCATTAGCTCACTTTTGAGTTGTGTACAATTTATATAACTAGATTCCTAACTCCAGGACCTCTTTAGCAGTCCTGAACTAAACTAAGATTATGCTTCAGAAAAAGGTTTTTTCTGACGAAAGTGGTAAGGGTGTCAAAATCAAAAGATGAACATATGACCAAATCCATGTAATGAGGTAGTAAGGTAAAAGGAAAATCGGGGTAAGCTACATCATCTTCCGAAGGAACAGAAACGGCTGCCTTCCTGTACTTCAGGAATTCCTTGCCTCGGGTTCATAGCTTCCCACAGATGGGTGTTTGATGCAAAAATTTATAAAAGCCACAGCGTGAAGATCAGATAAAAGGCACAGCCCAAGCTACTGTTTTACTTAAAAAGTAAACCTGCAAACTCATTGTTTGGGGGGAAGAATTATGAAACATCTGAAACTATACGAAAAAAACATTTTTTGAGCTACAAAGCCACCTTCACATGTGAAATGCAAAAATATAAACAGCTACTTACATTTTTTGTTAAAAAGAATTTATTTTGCTTTCTTAAAATGCCTTTTCATGGTCCTAGATCATTCCCTTGATAAGGAAAAAAACCACAGGACACTGACTTCATAAACCTATAAAGGAGAGATTATCATAGATGAAGATGGCAGGCTGGATTGATGCAAAGTAGCGAAACCCCACTCTAGTCTTTGTTCTTAGGATACACAGTGTGGTGTGGACAGCAGTAAATGTGGAGACCTAAAGTTCAAAGAAGACAGACATTAACAATAACTTGATATAGGTGGTGGCTAAAGTCCGTGCTTCATGGTATGGCTTCTATTGCTTGAAGGCAGGTAGCCACTGATGACTCCTGAAATGCCTATACTTACTAATGTAAGAGCTTAGGAATAAATAGAGAAGAGCCTCAAGAGCCAGAGAGAAGGTGTTCAGTCGTAGAGCCTCCCCCCTGCAGTGTGTGACAAGCTTTTTAAAAGGGCTTTCTGACTGCTCTGCTCTGTCTGCAGTAGGCTCCAACACTCAAATCCTCAGGTAAAGTTCAGAATGAAGCAAGGTAAATCCTTGGAAATAAAGCTCATTCCCTAGGAATGATGAACAATTTCATGACCAAAAAGTAGTTTTCGAAAGTCCCTTTTGTGACAAAGTCCAATGATGTGACCGGAGCCTCAGTTAAGATGGATCCAGTTTCCTTTTCTTCAAGTCTTGGTTCTTGTCATAGAAATCACAGTTTACTATGGAAGAAAAAAAATCATTTAAATATGACTGCCATGATTTTAAAATAAGAAACTGACAGCTAAAATTTGAAAGACCAGTGGGGCAGCTGGGTGGCTCAGTTGAGCATCCAGCTATGGCTCAGGTCATGATCTCATGCTTCGTGAGTTCGCGCTCACTGCTGTCAGTATAGAACCTGCTTCAAATCCTCTGCCTCACCGCCAACACCCCCCCTTGCTCCTCCCCCATTCATTTGTGCACGCGTGGTCTCTCTCAAAAATAAACATTAAACCTAAAAGATGAATAAAAATTGTTATGAGGGTAGATCTTTGTGTTATCTCTAGATCAAGTTGCAATACCAAACATGATGGGCCTACTTTAATAGATAAAGTTCTTCAGTCAGTCATGCTTAAGCTTCCTACTACTATCAAGGGTTATAAGGAGTTACACCTGAAGTCAGGGCCCCCAGAGAAAAAGTTCTGGCGTATAAGCCAGTTATCTTTCATTTTCTTACACTGATATTTCTCTGGCATAATATTATACAACTTCTTAAAATGGAATTCATCATTCTTTCTTTAAAATGCAAAGAATTAACCCAAGTTCTCCCTTCAATTTTTGTTGCTGAACACTCTCGCTACCTGTTATCTCTTGGTTACTGTTGTGAGTTTGGAGTTGCCTGGGTCCAGATTTTGCTTGTGGATCCTGGTGACAGAGGTCCTGTGGGGTCCTATTCCAGGTCACCACCTGGTGTTTCAGGACTGGTGTGGCAGGGGTCTGGAGTGGTTCTGGCCTAGACAAGGGCTTCACATCACTGTCCTCTGCATCTGGATCCATATCCCACATTCCAAGACTGTCTGCAAGGACAGAGATCGTGGGAAAACACAGCATCAACAAAGAAGAGTTCTCACAAAGCACTGGGAAAAACGTCATAAGAAATTCCATGTCGTGAGTGGACTATGACAGCTTTTGGAACTTCTCTCTCCCTGTCCACTAAAAGTATGCCAGAGTTTCTCTTAGGACCACAGAGGAGCTGAGTATGTGCTGTCAGAACGCCTGCAGTCCATTACGTGTCCTCTCTTTTTCTAAAACTTTGTGGGGCTATGAGATTAAAATGAGGATTTTTATGTCTCTCTTAAAATGTATTAGTGACTACCAAAAGTGCATTTCGTAGGTTTCATTTAATAAGCACCTATATTGGGGCACCTGGGTGGCTCAGTCGGTATGCATCAGACTTCGGCTCAGGTCGTGATCTCACGGTTCGTGGGTTCAAGCCCCGCACTGGGCTCTGTGCTGACAGCTCAGAGCCTGGAGCCTGCTTCAGATTCTATGTCTCCCTCTCTCTCTCTGCCCCTCCCTCGCTCACACTCGTCTCTCTCAAAAAAAAAAATAAACATTAAAAAATAATAATAAGTACGTATATTAATACTTAAGTCACTCCTTTAGCTCCTACTGACCTGTGAGGAAGTCTTTCTCCGTGTGTGGTTCAGAAACAGTTATGGGGGTGCTGTGCTTCACAGGAAGTGCTGGCGGTGCGGCTACAGTTCACAGGAGAGCGAGCAAGAGAGGACAAAATCAGAATCACTCAGTTGTTGGAGGGAGCACCTCAGAAGTGCAAAGCTGCCTAGAGTTACGCTGGTTCCTGGCACAGCCAATAGGAGATCCAAGATTCCTGGTCCCATTCCTACCTACATACAGATCTGCATGAGGCTAAAATCACGATTCTCTTTTCTTCTCACTAAATTGGGGAGAAAACAAGGTTCATTTCTCCTAAAGCAACTGTCCAGTTGGTCTGGGATAAGCCCTTTGTTTCTACTCTCTGGGAAAGACAATTCTCTTCAAACAATTTTGCCTCATGTTCACAGACAACTCAGAAAAGCTTTCTAATACGGAGATGGCCAAAGTAGCTGAAAGGGGGAAAAAAAAGTTATATACCCTAAAATTTCTAGTTCTAGATTATGTCAAGGCCCCTTTCCTTCCCTGAAGACAGATGAGGGCGTCTTTAGAAATGGGGAAATGCATGGCAGGATTTCATAGAGTCTTAATTGCTTAGACTCTATCCTGACCTGATGTCCTACTGAGTTCTGGTTTGGACGTAACCGTACATACTGGCAGAGGATCAGGCTAGTCCCTCGGGACACCTCCCCAGGGCCTCCGCTCCCATCCTCCTCACACACCCTGATTCTTCTTTTCCACTGATGGAGCAGATAGTTGCACTTGCTGTTTCTCCATTTGTTCCCGGAACTGCTGCTGCAACTGTTTTTGCCGGAGCTTCCGCTGGTACGTGGCATCGCTCTCCATGGCGGAGGCCAGGCTTCTGCATCAGAAGAGCAATAAGGCGGGGCTGAGTTAACGAAGTAAACTCCTGAGGGAGGACACAGACCAGTCTGCTAGCTCAGGAGGTGAAAATGGAGGTCACGAAGACTGAGAAGAGAAAGAGAGGGAACCGAGGCCTCATACCGGGAGCTGCCGGCCTTGTCTTCCTGTTTCACGAGGTGGGGATCATCTGAGCAGCTTGGTTTGCAAGGGGAGGTCACCTCCTGTGGTTTCGGGGGTCCCAGAGTCACGTTCTGCCGGCAGCTGCTGTATCTTGCTTGTTCCACAGAGGGTTCAAAATCTTGTCTCTTTGCTTTAGTTAAATCCACTTCAAGAGGCAACTAATAAGGGAAGAAAGGTAAATAACTTCTTCCAAGTGCACTTCCCCTTCCTTTCCCTGCCTTCAAGGTCTAGATTCCTGGAAAATGGTATTTGACCATCCACTATCCATCGTGCCCTCTAGATCCTGAGAAGCTGAGACAAAGGATCCATACTTCGATCTGTGCTTCAACTAACATTTTTAATTATATGGGAGAAGTAAAACAATTTCATTTTCTACTTTATACCTTTCTGTAGTAATCAAATTTTGGTAAAAAGGAATCTTACTTTGATTCAAGGCAAATGTTCTATATATCCTAATTTGAATCTTTCGTGGGCAGCTGGATCTGTCTGATGCTGTCAACTTTTTGTCTCTTTTTCGTGGGAATGATCACACATACTCCTTGTGGAGGCCTGTACTTTCTCTGGCCTTTCTTCCAGGACTTCCCCCAAAATACAACTCTCCTCAGTACAACACTCACAGGTTGCTACGGCACAACTAAGTGTCCTTCAAATGACAGGAGGAAGAAGACTTGGAAAGCACTGACGTCTCCCAATTTGGGGTAGTTCCTGCATCTCACCAAATGTGAGAACTAACTGTACTTCATGGCATTTGGCAATATGTTCTACTTCCAGGCCCTGAGCACTATAGAAACCCAGAGCTTTTCACTTGGGAGAACTGTCTCGATTCATATGGATGCTAATTTTAATAAAGATAATCTGAGGGGCACCTGGTGGCTCAGTCAGTTAAGCGAATGACTCTTGATTTCAGCTCAGGTCATGATCTCACGATCGTGAAATTGAGCCCTGCATTGGGCAATGTGCTGTGGAGCCTGCTTAGGATTCTCTCTCTCAAAAAAATAAAATTTGTAATTAATAACCTGAAAATAATTTCATTACATTATGAAATTTCTAATCTACATTGGAAAGTAAATGAGTAGGTTAAAAATAAATGAGCTTGGGGCACGTGGCTGCCTCAGTAGGTGGAGCATGCAACTCTGGATCTTGGGGTCATGAGTTCGAGCCCCACAATGGGTGTAGAGATTATGTAAAAATAAAAATTTTTAAATAAAATAATAAAATAAAATAGCGTATGCAACACAGATGAACACTGAGGACATTATGCTAAGTGAAATAGGCCAGTCACAAAAGAGCAAATATGGGGCGCCTGGGTGGCGCAGTCGGTTAAGCATCCGACTTCAGCCAGGTCACGATCTCGCGGTCCGCGAGTTCGAGCCCCGCGTCGGGCTCTGGGCTGATGGCTCGGAGCCTGGAGCCTGTTTCCGATTCTGTGTCTCCCTCTCTCTCTGCCCCTCCCCCGTTCATGCTCTGTCTCTCTCTGTCCCAAAAATAAATAAAAACGTTGAAAAAAAATATTTAAAAAAAAAAAAAAAGAGCAAATATGTATGATTCCATGTACAGGAGGTACATACTTAGAGTAGTCAAAAAAACGAGGCAGAAGGTAGAATGGCAGCTGCCAGGGGCTACAGGGAAAAGGAAGCAGGAAGCTACTGTTACACTTTCAGTTTGGTAAAAAGAGAGTTATAGAAATGGACAGTGGTGACAGCTGTACAACAGAAGGAAGGTTTATAACACCACTAACTACACTTAAAATGGTTAAGATGATAAGTTTTGTTATATATATTTTACTACAAAAAAAAAATGAACTTTGAAAAAAGTTTGAAAGACTCACAATGCTAAGTGCTGCCAGAGACCTGAAACAGCTGAAACTATAAACCACAGTGCAGGAGTGTACATTAATACAACCACAATGAACACTGGAAAGATCTAAAACGAAGCATATGCCTATTCTCTGACCCGACCCAATAATTCATTCCCAAGATAAATGGGTGTGTATGCACCAAAAGACATGCAAGAATGCTAACCGCAGCCCTATTCAAAACAACCAAAAACTACTCCAAAACTCCGTCTATTAGACAGAATGGGAAAATGAGCTGTGCTATATTCACACAATAGAAAAGTATACAGCAGTGAAAATGCTACATGTGACATGAGTGAATCTCACAAACATGTCAATTGAAAGCCAGACACAGAACAGTTCATACTGTTTGATTCCCCAAGGTGCAAAAAGGCCAACTAACCTATGTTGTTAAAAGAGGTTTTCCTTAGTAGTGATGAGGAGGGGAGAGCTTTGCAGTCACTGCAAGGAACACTATTGAGGCTTCTGAGACACTGATAATATTTTGATTTGATTTCAGATGGTTCTATGGCTATGCTCATCAAGCTGAACATTTATGATATGTGTACTTTTCTACATGTTTATATGTACATGTTAACACTTCAATGGATTTTTATAAAGCACAAACTATACAATTTCATTTATATAAAGTGCAAAAACAAAAAACCTACAAGACTGGGGCACCTGACTGGCTTAGTTGGTAGAGCATCCAATCCTTGATCTCAGGGTTGTGACTTTGAGCCCCACATTGGGTGTATATTACAGAAAGAGAGGAAGAAAAGAAAGAAAAGAAAAAGAAATGAAAGGGAAGGGAAGGAAATCTATGAGGCTAACAGAATAGAGAAGTCTGGACAGTAGTTACTTTTCAAAAGAGAAGTCAAGGTAGTGAATGGGAGTGGCAAATGGGGGCTTTGGGGTACTGGTAATGTTTTTTTATCTGGGAGATAAATAGCTGTGTTCACTACTAAATATTCATCAGGCTGTGCCATTATGAATTATACAGTTTTCTGTGTATAATTTGCACTTCATTTTAAAAATTCACTTAAAAACTGGGGCACCTGGGTGGCTCAGTCGGTTAAGCCTCCGACTTCGGCTCAGGTCACGATCTCACAGTTCCTGAGTTCAAGCCCCACGTCAGGCTCTGTGCTGACAGCTCAGAGCCTGCAGGCTGCTTTGGATTCTATGTACCCCCCTCTCTCTGCCCCTCCCTTGCCTGTGCTCTGTCTCTCTCTCAAAAATAAATAAACATTAAAAAAAAATTTTTTTTTTAATTCATTTAAAAACTAAGAGTAAAAAAGAAAGGGAGGATGTTAGCAGAATGGCAGACTCAGAAGCTCCACGGGCCCTTCCCCTAGAGACACTGAGTTACCAAGATACAAACTAGAATACCTTTCTGAGAACCCCGGTGACCAGCTAAGAAGCGACAGGCCTCAAGCCAGCATAAAACCAAGACAAGAATCCAGCAAAAGGGGTAGGAAAACTCCTGGCATTTTGCGTGGCCACTTGTGCCCCGCCCCTGCCCCTACCCAGCAGTGAGTAGCACAACCAGGAAGAAACCTCACGTACTGAGCTCTTCCTCTGGGATGGAAACAAAGGAGTAGACTGTGCATCCAATGTTGTGGCTTGTCTAGAGCTGCCCATGGCATTGCTTTCTGTCTCACCTGACTCAGCACAATGATGAGACCAGCAGCAGAGTTTGAAAGCCACTAAAAACAGAGATGAGCACAAGAACACCTTGGAGCTACAGTTATGCAGTGAGATGCCAGGAGAAAGAGATCATAAGAGGTTTGAGAGGTCCTAGAACCTCTAGGTGGGCCAACTGGTAAAGTTCTTGCCCTGCACAAAACCAGTACATAAAGACTGGGACTGGTGGTTGTTTTCTTAAATGCCACATCTCAACAAAAGATCATATGGCATTTAAAGAAACAGGGAAATGTGGACCAAAGTAACAAAATAAAACTCCAAAAACAGACTCTAAAAAAAATGCAATCTATAAACTGCCTAACAAAGAATTTAAAATAACTATCATAAATGCTCAATCAGCTAAAAGAGAACACAGACAGCTAATGAAATTAGGAAAATGATGCATGGATGAAATGAGAACATCAACAAAGAAAAACTATTAAATAGCAACTAACAAGTTCCAGAGCTGAAAAATATAGTAACAGCTGAAAAATTCACTGGAGGGATTCTATAGCACACTCGATCTGACAGAGGAAAGGATCAGCCCACAGGAAGACAGGTCATTTGAAATCATCTCAGAGAAGCAAACCAAAGGAAGAATGCAGAAATATGACCAAGCTTAAGGGGGCCTATAGGACACCTGTCACACTATATATTACAAGAATCTCAGAAGAAGAGAAAGAGAAAGGGGCAGAGAGATTATCTGAGGAAATAATGGGCCCAAAACTTCCAAAATCTGAGGAAAGAATATGTATACATTCAAGAAGCCCAAAGAGGCTAACTAAACTAAACCCAAAGAAGCTCACACCAAAACACATTATAATCAAACTGCCAAAAGTCAAAGACAACACACTAGTTACAAACTACCAGAAAGAGAAATTAAGAAAACAAACCTATTTACAATTGCATCAAAAAGAATAAAATACTTAGCAATAAATGAACCAAGGAAGTAAAAGACCCATACACTGAAAACTACAAGACGCTAATGAAGGAAACTGAAGAACAAATGGAAAGGTATTTCATGGTATGGATTGGAAGAATTAATATTGTTAAAATGCCTAAACAACCCAAAACAATCTACAGATTCGATGTAATACCTATCAAAATGCCAACGGCATTTTCCACAGAAATAGAACAAACAATCCTAACGTTTGTATGGAACCACAAAAGACCCCAAATAACCGAAGCAATATTGAGAACAAAGCTGGAGGCATCATGCTACCTGATTTCAAACTATATTACAAAGCTATAGTAACCAAAACAGTATTTTCATAAAGACACATAGATCAATGGAAAAGAAAGGAGAGCTCAGAAATAAACCCGTTTATATGATCAACAAATTTATGACAAAGATGCCAAGAATGTACAATGTCAAAAGGACAGTCTCTTCAATAAATGGTGTTGGAAAAATGGATAGCCCGTGCAAAGAATGAAACCAGACCACTATCTGACACAATATACAAATATACACAAAATGAAGTACAGACATGAGTGTAAGACCAGAAACCATGCAACTCCTAGAAAAAAACACAGGTGATAAGCTCCTTAACACTGGTTTTGGTGATGACTTTTTGAATGTGACACCAAAGCAGAGCCAACAAAAGAAAAAATAAACAGGCAGGACTACATCAAACTAAAATGCTTTTGTATAGCAACAGAAACTGTCAACATGAAAAGGTTACCTACTGCATGGGTGAAAATATTTGTAAATGATGGAACTGGAGGGTATTATGCTAAGCAAAATAAGTCAGTCAGAGAAAGACAGATACCATATGTTTTCACTCATATGTGGATCTTGAGAAACTTAACAGAAGACCATGGGGGAAGGGAAGGGTGAAAAATGTTACAAACAGAGAGGGAGGGAGGCAAACCATAAGAGACTCTTAATACAGAGAACAAACTGAGGGTTGATGGGGCGTAGGGGAGAGGGGAAAGTCGGTGATGGGCATTGAGGGCACTTGTTGGGAAGAGAACTGGGTGTTGTATGGAAGCCAATTTGACAACAAATTATATTTTTTTTAAAAATTTGTAAATGATATAATCAATAAGGAGTTAATATCCAAAATATGTAAAGAACTCAATAGCAAGAAAATAAACAATCCAATTAAAAAATGGGAACTGGATCTATATAGACATTTTTCCAAAGAAGACACGTAGATGGTCAACAGACACACGGAAAGATACTCAACATCACTCATGATCAGGGAAATGCAAATCAAAACCACAATGAGATATCACCTCACACCTGTCAGAGTGGCTATTATCAAAAAAATAAAAAGCGTTGGCAAGGATGTGGAGAAAGGTGAAACCTTGTGCACTAGTGGTGGGAATGAAAACTGGTGCAGCCACTGTGGAAAACAGTATGGAGGTTCCTCAAAAAATTAAAAATAGAACTACCATGTGATTCACCAAGTCCACTTCTGGATATTTATCCAAAGAAAACAAAAACACTAACTCAAAAACGTATCTGCTCCCCATGTTCATATGGAAATAACCTAAGTGTCCATCCACGGATGAACGGATAAAGAAAATGTAGTACACATGCAATGGAATATTACTCAGCCATAAAGAAGGAAACTTGCTATTTGCCACAACGTGGATGCACCTCAAGGGCATTATGCTAAGTGGAATGAGTCAGATAGAGAAAGACAAACATTGTATCTCACTTATATGCAGAATCTGCAGGAGAAAAAAAAAAAAGAGCTCATAGGTACAGAGAACAGATTGGTGGTTGCCAGGGATACAGTAGGTAACAGGCAAAATGGGTGAAGGGGGTCAAAAAGTACAAACCTCCAGTTATAAAAATACGTCATGGGAATGTAATGTACAGTATAGTGACTGTAGCTAATAATATTGTATTGTATATCTGAAAGTTGCTAAAAGAGTAAATCTTAAAAGTTATCAAAAAAAATGTGTAACTAGGTATGGTGATGGATGTTAATGAGACTTATTATGTCATTCATTTCATAACATATACAAATATCAAATTATTATGTTGTATACCTAAACTAAAATAATGTTATATGTCACTTATATCTCAATTTTTAAAAAGTCAAAGACAAAGAGAAATCTTGGAAGCAGCAAGAGAAAAATCATCAACAAATCAACAGGCCACAACATAGATGAAACGAGGACATTACGCTAAATGAAATAAGTCAGTCAAAAAAAACAAACAGCATGATTCCACTTACATGAGGCATCTAAAGTAGTCAAATTCATAGACAGTTAAGTGGAATGTGGTAACCAGGGGCTATGAGAAGGGGGAAAGGGGGGCTGTGTTTTGGGTATCGAGTTGCAGTACCTCAAGATTAAAAAGTTCTGGAAATCTGTTTCATCAGTGAACTGTACACTTACAAATGGCTAAAATGGTAAATTTTGTTATGTGTTTTTTACCACAATTTAAAAAAGAGAGGAAAAAAAAAACTTACGAGTGATATCCCTAACAAACACAGATGCAAAAGGCCTTAAGAAAATACAAGCCTAATAACGTGTAAAAGGATCTTAACAAGGGAAAGAGTGGAGTTTTGACAGATGCCAATTGACACATGCCTCTGTTAGGGTCTCCACCCCAAGAGCCCCTCGAGTACAAGACAGGGAATGCTCCCCGGGGCCTCAGAGAATGTCATGGGGAAGGCAGCCACTCCTCCAGGCACCAGGAATATTCCAGAACCCGACTCAGCCCAGGCCAAGAGTGACTACAGGGGATACACGATTTCCAGACCCCTCTCTCGCAAAGTCTCAGCTCGTGCGATAGGCAGAGACAGAAACAAGAGGATCTACACCTTAAATCCACTCCAGCTAAGGAAAAGCAAGAAGGTGGAAGAGGTGTGGTTCTCAGTGTTTATAAGAAATGGTGGTGCTGCAGGGTTCTCAGACCATTCCCGAACACAGCGCTCCATGTAGAAGAAACAACTAGCATACATTCTCTGGGCTTCAATGTCCTCATCTGTAAAACAAGGCCATTGGTTCCTGTTGCTCTGATATCAAACAAGTCAGAAATACACATTCCAGACCCTCTAAAGGGCTGAGTCTCCCCTTCTTCTCTCTCCATCCGCAGTCACCCATGACACAAGGGAATCAGTAATATCTTTACTGCAATGCATTCCATTCATCCATTTCTAACATACCTGGCGTGGAAGCTTATTTAGTGACCTCAGATAGTCTTTGTCCAGAATACAATTTCCAAGTGCATTCCCAAAACTTCTAAGAGTAAGGAAAAAAAAAGAGTGAAACAGGTTGAGAATTATTACATGGTAATATCAGAGAACACAGTTAGAATCTCTGTGCAAGTTGCTTCTCAACTGTGGCAGAGAAGGACCCTAATATACATCCAAAAATGTTTACTGAGCACCTGCCACATTCATGCACTGCTTTAGTTGTAGGTTCTCAGAATACAGCACCATCCCTGCCCTCAGCATGAGGCAAGGACTATGAAAAGACTCCTTAGCTACCTCCTGCCGTGGAGCACCAATTCCAGAGCAGAGATTTCTTCTGAGGACTGCTCCAATTCCCCAGCAACAGTGGGCTACACACACTTAGAGCACAATCCTCCCTGACAGAAGCTCTTCACTCAGGATGCCTGGTTATGTACCGCAAGTTTGTAGTGGATGTTCATTCATACATGTGTTTTTCTAGTGATTCAATTCACTTCAATTCTCAAAGGCCAAAAAAAAAAAAAAAAAAAAAAAGGCAAAATACCCTGTTCTATGTAACTAAGCTGTACATACACAATGAAAAACTGCTTAATGGGGAAGCTGTCTCGTACCCATGTGGAAAGGTCTCCGATCCATGACTGAGGCAGTGGGTGTGCAAAATCGAACACAGAACAGAGAAGATAGTATTCTACCATGTGTTCCCAAGAGGGGAGACTGACTAAGCATAAAGCAGCATGGGGGACACGCAGGAGAACAGGAAACGGGGCCAAGAGATACAGGGGAGAGGGAGACTCAGGTTATTTTGATTTTTGTACCACATGAACGTATTACATTCTAAACAAACTAAAACAAAACAAAACTGCTCTGAAACAAGAATCAAAATGAAGCAGGTCAGACTCTAGCTTTTGCTTACCTCAGCGCCCGCTTCAGCCCATCTGTCACCGCCTCCTTCCTTGCCTTCTCCAAAGACAAGGCTTTTGACTTGAGGCCCTCACTGACCCCATAGCCCACATCTTCATGATATGAGCCGTCCTGTGGGGGGAAGAGCCCAACATGAAGAGCTGCAGTCGTGTGTCCCTGTCACACAACTCTTTTTGCCCTGAACAGTGCCCACACTGGGCACATATTAACTCAGGAGCCTTGCTAAAGGGCACATGAATGGGCACCAAGAACTGTAAGAGAATTAATTTCCAGCACTATGTCCTTTATCTTATCTGCTGGGAAGTATGTGAGACAATTCTCCCTTCCCACCTCCTCTTTTACTTAAAAAGGCATACAGCTAACCCACCCTAAATCTCACTAGGGTGCATGACCCCAAGGTATAAAAACCTCTGGGACACTGAACAAAAAGAAAATGTGAAATATTATATTTAACGACTCTAATGATTGGATATTAAATCTTTTCACTAGTCAGGTGGTGTCCATTTCTGGCTTTCACCAAAAATGAAAGTAGACCTGATTGAGTTATTAGCTGATAGAGAACTAAATATAATTTTAGATGATAGCACTCTGTGATTTTTTTTTTAAAATTTTTAATGTTTATTTTTGAGAGAGAGAAACAGAGACAGAGACAATGCGTGAGCAGGGTAGGGGCAGAGAGAGAGGGAGACACAGAATTCAAAACAGGCTTCAGGCTCCAGCTGTCAGCACAGAGTCAGACACGGGGTTTGAACTCAGGAACAGTGAGATCATGACCTGAGCCAAAGTCAGACACTTAACTGACTGAGACACCCAGGTGCCCCCGCCCCACACTCTGTGATTTTTTATATAACTCAGAAAGTTAATTCAAAGAAATGAGTGACACTATAACAAAACTCTCCATTCCCAGTTTATTATGTGAATAAGGTTTTTCAGTACTATTTACTAAAAATAAGAAGTTAGAATAGAATTAATGTTGAATGGTCTGTCTAGGAAAAAATAATATTAAACTATGGACATATTTTAAAAATTTAATTTAATTTAAAAAATAAACTATGGATATATAAACTATCCAAAAAGAAAAAGCCTCATCCATCTCATTAAGAAATACATTTTCTTTTTTTTTTTTTTTTTTTAATTTTTTTTTTTTCCAACGTTTATTTATTTTTGGGACAGAGAGAGACAGAGCATGAACGGGCGAGGGGCAGAGAGAGAGGGAGACACAGAGTCGGAAACAGGCTCCAGGCTCTGAGCCATCAGCCCAGAGCCCGACGCGGGGCTTGAACTCACGGACCGCAAGATCGTGACCTGCCTGAAGTCGGACGCTTAACCGACTGCGCCACCCAGGCGCCCCAAGAAATACATTTTCCACAAAAATTTATTTTTATTAAGTATACAAATTTTAATGTAGTTATGTTGTCTCCCTCACAGACACAACTGACTAATCAATTGTGTGTTAATAATACCTATAATAGTAATTCAATCCAGATTTTGTATAATTTATTTTTTTTCTTAACATTTATTTATTTTTGAGAGGCAGAGCAAGACACAGCACAAGCAGAGGAGGGATAGAGAGAGGGAGACACAGAACCCAAAGAAGGCTTCAGGCTCTGAGCTGTCAGCACAGAGACTGACACAGGGCTCAAACCCACGAACTGTGAAATCATGACCTGAGCCAAAGTCAGACACTCAACCAACTGAGCCACCCAGGTGCCCCAAATTTTAAAAAATTTAAAGACCTAAGGTCACTGAAAATTTACTCAAAAAAATTACTTTTATATATACATACACACAGAGAGGAATTATACTAAGGTTATTAACAAGGTTCCAAACATATACATTCCAAACATTGTTTTATATATATTGATATATTATATTAGTATAAAGCCACTGGTGAAATAGAACAGGAGTTCAAGAAAAAACAATGTAAAATTTCTCATGATTAAAGAACACCTTGCTCATGTATTTTTTTAAATAGATGACAGTATTTAATCACCTATTATTGAAAATCCATTGGTATATTTAAAAATGATGCAACAAAAAACTATGGGAGGAACAGATAAAGGAGATTAAGAGTACAATTATCCTGATGAGCCATGAGAAATGTACAGAATTGTTGAATCACTATATTGCACACCTGGAACTAAAATATCCCAGTATGTTAACTATATGTGGATTAAAAAAAAAAGGAAGAAAAAGATACAACACATTTATTTTAGAAGAATCACTATATTGCACACCTGGAACTAAAATATCCCAGTATGTTAACTATATGTGGATAAAAAAAAAAAAAGGAAGAAAAAGATACATTTATTTTAGAATGTCAAATTTGGGGGCGCCTGGGTAGCTCAGTTGGTTAAGTGTCCAACTCGATTTAGGCTCCAGTCATGAACTCACAATTTGTGCTATCAAGCCCCGCATCAAGATCTGCACTGACAGAGCAGAGACTGCTTGGGGTTTTCTCTCTCTCCGCCCCTCCCCAACTCATGCACACACTCTCTCTCAAAAATAAATAAACATTAAAAAAAAAAAAGTCAAATTTTACAATATGCCAAGAAATATACCCTTGCAACTACAGCTTTCTCCCATTACCCAGAAGTAGAACATTCTTATGAAAGCTTTCATTTGCCAAAGTAGCATAAAGCAAAGAAGTACCATTAATTTGTATGGAAAATTTTTTGAGCATTCCCAGATCCAAAAACTAACCTCTTTTGTGGCACGTGGGTGGCTCAGTCAGTTAAGCATCCAACACCTGATTTCTGCTCAGGTCATGATCTCACAGTTTTGGGAGTTCAAGCCCAGCACTGGGCTCTGTGCTAACAGTGCAGAACCTGCTCAGGATTCTCCCAATCTCTCTGCCCCTCCCCTACTCGCGCAAGCATTCTCTCTCCCTCTCTCTCTCTCTCTCTCTCTGAAGACAAACAAACAAGTAAATAAATAAATAAATAAATAAATAATGGCCTCTATTAGGCTTCTCTGATACATCAGGACACATCCTGCTAATGGAGGCACAAAATAAATCAAAATAAAGCATATTTGCTCACAGATATAGTTCAAAGCTATAGGAGCTTGATGCTGAGGAGCTTGGCAGGGTCACTCTTGCTGCCAGGGTTCACTTTTTGTCATAAAAGTGAAAATCCTCTTTGGATTTCTTTCATTTAAGTGAAAACAGGTACCAGTGTAGGTCTTCCATAAACGCAAAGCGGCATAGCACAAACTTGAAAGGCAGAGGACCTGTATTCATACTTACGGTGAAAACTTTTAGGAGTAAACTTAAAATGTGCAAGAAAACAAGAGTTTTTCACAATTCATTTAGGGACACATGAGTAAGAATGTTTGGCTACCACCATCCCAAAGAACACTGGCTGAGCCACAGCTCTAGCGCCTAGCTCTCCAGCTTGGCTGTGCCACCGTCCAGAGAATTCTCTACCTGCTCATTCTCTCTCACCGCCCACCCGGTCCTCAGAGGCAGCAGGTCTATTCCATCACCCTCACCTTCAACTGGACTCTCACAAATGCACAGACTCCCACGTAGAACTTGCCATTGTTAAGGTCAACAAAATCTAGGAGTGGGAAAGAGAACCAGTTGAAGAGGATTCTGATCCCTGTGCCTCACCCACATTCCTCTGCTGGCAACCAAATATACCTACCCTACATCCTCACCCACAAAATACTCTCATCAGAAATTAGTGCCAAAGTAAGGGAAAGAAGTTGTCATTGCCAGGAAACATACCCACATTCTGCTGTGTGATAGAGTGTGCCCAGCCATTGTAACCAAACATCTCATTGGCCAGATTAATTACCCTGTGACCCTCGATGTAACATACCTGGAAAAAGAAATTAAACGGGGGGAGAAAAGGGGCTTGTTAAAATTCCTTGCCATACTTAAATGTGAATCAAAATTTACTTAATTTATTCCTTACCAGCTTTTTTGGCAAAACTGCCCTTAAACATTCCAGGGAAATTCTCAGTGACCTTATTTCAAAGATCTTCCAGAAGAAACCAGTTAGAACTAATATTTTGTCTGAGGGAAGGGACTAAACTCAGAGGGGCAAGATATCCACTCACCTATCAGTTTCCAAAACTCAGTTCCCAAAAATGTACAAGGCTCGGGTTGACATATATTATAGAAGACCAAAAATATACACAGAAGATACAATTAGAAGCAAAAGAAACAGTTTTAAAAGATGGTATAAAAACCCCAAGATGGCAGGTATGGAAGTCTCAAGACAAAACTTGGGTCACTTCAGATGACACTGAAGGCTGGAACCCATCCCCTCCCAAAGACACTCAGAAACACCTAGGACTAGAGACCTTCTGAATCCATGAGGACCCAGAGAGGGAGCTGGCGAGATCATCTGAGTAGCCAGCTATATGGGCACCCACTTCGTAAGCATATAAACTCTCCTACCCTCTGGCCGCCTCCAGCCATTCGGCTACTGATGTATTCTGGGCCCAGCCTTTGCCTCAGAGCTTTCTGGATGGCCTGATACTCTTCTGCTGTGTACTGACACTGCAATCCAGAAAGGAAAAATTAAATTGGCATTTCCTCCATTCCTTATGTCAGCAAGTCTCCAACTGTTTTGGTCTCCAGACCCTTTTACACTCTTAAAATGTACTGAGGATCCTAAGAGCTTTTGTTTATGTAGGTTATATCTATCCATATCGGGAATTAAAACTGAGAAACTCTTAAGGCACATCTTCCATCAGCCTCAAAGCAGCGTCATCACATGCTGTGTATTCCCTTGGAAGTCCCACTGTTCACTCGCTTACAAGAGAATGAGTGGAAAAGGCAAGTGGTATGTTAGTGTTATTATGGAAATCATTTCGACCCCATGGACTCTGAAAAGTCTTGTGGCCCCTCAGGGGTCACTGGACCACATTTTGAGAGCCAATGCCTTAGGTGTTACTACCATCCTTACAAAACTTTCTCAAGTAAACTTGAGAATTCATAAACTGAAATGTCCCACCTCGGGGTCTGTATATGACATTTATGCCCGCGATGGAGTAGGGGAAATCCACCATCCTCTCCAAAGTTTTATACCTCTCTCTAATTCAACATTTATTTTCCATTGTATACACAGATAATATACTACTACTTGTTTTGATTTTTGTCCCCTTGGCAGTTCTCCCCTTGCCCTATGTAAACAAAATAAATGCTCACAAACAGATCTCTGGTAAAGACAAAGATAGAATTTGAGGGGACAAACTAAGAATCTCTTTTATGTGCACAGCATATCTCCACAGAGAATATGACACCAGAAACTCTGGATGCCTCCAAAAAGGGAACAGGAGTGATGGGGAAGTAGTGAGACTTTTCATTCGCATATAGTCTACGTTCCATTTTGAATGTTATACCATATGAATATGGAGCCTATCCAAGAAAATAAACACAATGTAAATCTAATCTCCAGTACCATCAGTCTTTTGGTGCTAAAAGTCCAAAATGCCCTGAGAGTTCACCAGACTCCCAAATAATGCACCTAAAGGAAAAACCACTGATGATAAATAGCACCCACGTATATGACAGTGCTCTACAAGTTACTTTCTCATATCTTTTCACTTCACCTCATTCTTGCCAGGTATGAGAGAAAACACACAGTTACCTGTCCAAAGCATAACACAGAACTGCCACCAGCAGAAGGATGGCTGCCACGGCCTCCGAGAATCGCCTCCTCAGTCACGGACATGCTGATTCTGGGGGACTTCTACAGAAACAGAAGATTAAAAAAGATCTCAAAGAATGCTAAATGTAAAAGGCAAGAGCCTCTACTAAAACTCAGATGAAAGCATCCAGATGCAGTATCCTACAAATCACTTAATTTACTTGACACTTTTTTATAAGCACTGCCCCAGTCAAGGACTAAGTTCCTCAGTGCTATCATCCAATAGGCCACTGAGATCCTTTAGCGTCCACTTCTATCTTTCTGTTAAAATTTTTGCTGGAGTGGGGGTGCCTGCCTGGCTGCCTGGAACATGCTAGAGCATGCAACTTTTGATCTCAGAGTCATGATGTCAAGCCCCATGTGGAGAGTGTAGCCTACTTAAAAAATTTTTTTTCTTCTTACTAGGGTGATGGTGCTGCTAATAAAGGTGATTTTTAGGGGTGCCTGGGTGGCTCAGTGGGTTAAATATCTGACTTCAGGTCATGGTTTAATGGTTCATGAGTTAGAGCCCCATATCAGGCTCTGTGCTGGCACTGCAGAGCCTGCTTCAGATCTCTGTCTCCCCTCTCTCTGCCCCTCCCCCATTTGCACCATGCTCTTCTCTCTCTCTCAAAAATAAACATGAAAAAAAATTTTAAGTGAATTTTACAATTAGAATGTATTCTAATTGCAATATTTATAATGCAAAAAGCCAAAATTACAAAAAATCTCCAAAGGACAGGAAACACTCACCTGATTACTACCTAGTATATGAGCAACATGATCCTGGCTTCAGTGGGGTCAAAATAGAAATATAAGCCACAATAACTGAACTGCTTTCCAGGAACTAACAAGCTAGCTGGAAGCAGAAGACTAATAGATAGGAAAATTAAAGAGGAAGAGAAGGCAGTACAGACGACCCTAACATTCAGGAAAAGTACAGCGTTAGACCAGTCAGCATCACCTGGGAACTTATTAGAAGTGCAAATCCTCAGGCCCTACCCTAGACCTACTGGATCAGAAACTAGAGATGAGGCCCAGGAGTCTGTACTTGCCCACTGAGGGATTCGGATACACACTCTAGTTTGAGAGCCAATGCATTAGACTGAGATTGGCAAATGTTTATAGTCCACTAAAAAACAGAATGACCCTCAGAAGGATCCTCTACCTAATTACCCCACACCTGTCTCAAATCAAACGGATTCAGAGTTAGGCCTCAGCCTTTCTGTCCCCTTCTGGCATTCCAGATGTGGAAGTGAGGATGTGGTGAGTCCTCCGATGTGAAATTCCGGATTTCCCTGGGTCTTCCAGTAGGAGCCATGATCCACTATGCTGACCACACAGGAGCCCAGAGTCTGTATGTCATCTCTGTAAAGGGGATAAGGCACTAAATACACGTCCTGCTGCTGGCGTGGGTGACATGGGGATGGCCACAGTGAAGAAAGGCAAACCAGAGCCCAGAAAGAAAGTACATCCAGCAGTGATAACTGGATAATGAAAGTCTTACCGGAGAAAAGATGGTGTGTTTTTCTATTTTGAAGGTAACACAGGGGTCACTGAAAACAATAAAGGTGAAATGACAGATTCTGCTATCATGGAACCAGTTGCAAAGGGGTGTACAGACCGGTACCCCAGGACTGCATCCAATGCTGGTGCTATTGCATGATCCTTTAGTGTATTTGTTAAAAAAAAATTAAGAATTATTTGCTCCTGATGTTTGCCTTCCTGTTCTTTTCTGCATGTCATTCTTCTTGGCACCACCTAGCCCTGGCCTACTATTATAGAATACAGTTACTAGTGCAAACTTGCTGTGGGCACGTGCAAAATAAACAGTACTTGGCAAAAAAAAAAAAAAAAAAAAAAAAAAAAAAAAGGCTTGTGCCTCAGCAAACTTACGTGTTGTAGTCTCCAGGTTATTTGCTGACAGTAAAACTACAAATCTAGGAATATCAAGTAGTAGGACTCTCCATACAGCATTACAATACAATATTTAAGGGCTCAAGTTCTGTCAGCTTCTGCTTCTATCACCCACTGGCTGCTTGACCAAGGGGAAAATCACATAATCTCTCTAAATGATGTTTTCTCATCTAGAAAATGGCCATAATAATACTATCACTTCCTAAGGGTTCTGTCGAGATTAACATGATGCTGCATGAAAACTGCATTAGAATAGTGCCACATGAAGTACTAAATAAATGTTGGCTACGGCTAGGTGCATGTCAATTTTCATATATACAGGATGATGAAAATGCAAAAAACTATTTAAATGATCATAAAACCAGGGTGCCTGGGTGGCTCAGTCAGTTAGGCGTCATGATCTCATGACTTGTGAGTTTGAGCCCCACGCCGGGCTCTGTGCTGACAGCTCAGAGCCTGGAGCCTGTTTCAGATTCTGTGCCTTCCTCTCTCTCTACCCCTCCCCCACTCACACTCTATCTCTGTCTCAAAAATAAACAAAGATTGGGGTGCCTGGGTGGCTCAGGTCATGATCTTGCAGTTAGTGGGTTCAAGCCCTGCATCAGGCTCTCTGCTGTCAGCACAGAGCCTGCTTCAGATCCTCTGTTCCCCTCTGTCTCTGCCCCTCTCCTGCTTGTGCTTTCTCTCCTTCCCTCTCAAAAATAAATAAACTTTAAAAAATAAACATCAAAAAAATTTTTACATAAATGATCATAAAACATTACATTCCAGCTAAGAATGAGATATTTATAACTTGGCACTAAAAAAGGAATAGCCTAACTAGATTAGTCAATAATATCTAAATTGCTATAACACAATCACTATATTGGACACCTGAAACTAATTATTACACCTTATGTTAACTAACTAGAATTAAAAACAAAAACTTAACACTTCACACACACTGGTATGGCTACAATAAAAAAGACAGTGAATAATCAAGGTTAGCAAGGATGTGAAGAAATTAGCGCACACACACACACACACACACACACACACACACACACATATACACACACACAATCTGTTAAAACAGGTGATGTGCTGTGGGAGCGGATGTGGGCTAAATGGGTAAGGGGTATTAAGGAATCTACTCCTGAAATCATTGCTTCACTATATACTAACTAATTTGGATGTAAATTTAAAAAAATAAAAAATAAAGTTAAAAAGAAAAGAATAAAACTTAAAAAAACAAAACAAAACAGGTGTGTGCCTGGCTGGCTCAGCTGGTAGAGCACATGACTCTTGATCTCAAGGTCTTGAGTCCAAGCCTCAGTTTGGGGGTAGAGTTTACCTTTAAAAAAAGAGCAGAGGCCTTTGGGTGGTTCAGTAGGTTGAGCATCCAACTCTTGCTTTTGGCTTGGGTCATGGTCCCAGGGTTGTGGGATCAAGCCCCACATCAGGCTCCAAGCTGAGCATGTACCCTGCTTAGGATTTTTCCTCTCTCCCTCTCTCTCTCTCTCCCTCTCCCTCCCTCCCTCCTGTCTGCCCCTTTCCTCCACCTGAGTCCTCTCTTTCTCTAAAAAATAAATAGGGGTTGCCTGGGTGGCTCAGTTGGTTGAGAGTCCGACTTCGGGGACTTCGAGGTCATGATCTCGCAGTCTGTGAGTTCAAGCCCCATGTTCTGTGCTGACAGTTCAGAGCCTGGAGCCTGCTTTGGATTCTAGGTCTCCCCCTCTCTCTGCTCCTCCCCCTGCTCATGCTCTCTCTCTCTCTCTCTCTCTCTCTCTCTCTCTCTCAAAAATAAACAAACGTTAAGAAAAAAATTTTAATAAAAAAATAAAAAGACCAAAACTCAAAATTGTTACAGCAGGAAATAGTGAAATGAAGATCTTATTTAGAATGTAATTGTAAATGGCAGAAAAGAGTTAAAAGAATGAAATGGATCTGTCTCCAAGGGGTGGAGAACAGTGGAGCAGGGATCTTCTTTTTCAAAATAAAACTTTTAGGGGTGCGTAGATGGCTCAGTCGTTTAAGCATTCAACTCTTGGCTCAGGTCATCATCTCACAGTTTTTGAGTTCGAGCTCTGAGTAGGGCTCTGTGCTGACAGCACACTCTGCTTGCTGTCTGCTTGGGATTCTCTCTCTCCCTCTCTCTCTAACCCTCCTGATTGCTCTCTCTCTCTCCCAAAATAAATAAACTTAAAAAATTTAAATAAAACTTTTAGCACTATTTCATTTTCCATATATGTACATGTATTATTTTAATAAAAACAGAAATTAAAAATTAAATATCTACTATATAAAGCAGAGGTTGGGGGGCACCTGGGTGGTTGAGCGACCAACTTCAGCTTAGGTCACGATCTCATGGTTCATAGATTCGAGCCCTGCATCAGGCTGTGTGGACAGCTAGGAGCCTGGAGCCTGCTTCAGATTCTGTGTCTCCAGCTCTCTCTGCCCCTCCCCTACTCACACTCTCTCTCTCTCTCTCTCAAAAATAAATATTAAAAAAAAAAATTTTTTTTAAAACAGAGGTCAGCAAACTTTTTCTGTAAAGTGCTAGAGAGTAATTATTTTAGGACTTGCAGGCTATGTAGTCTGTCATGACTACACAACCCTGGCATTTTAGTGTGAAAGCAGCCATAGATAATATGTAAACAAATGGGCATGGTTGTGTCCCAATAAGACTTTATTACAAAAAGAGGTGTAAGATTTGGTCCACAGGCCATAGTGTGCCATACTTGCTATAAATAATGCTTTGAACGTTAAAGTCAGATGTGGTTCAACACCCAGTTCCACTCAGTAAGTTACTTACATTGAGCAATTGCTCAAACTCTCTGTGCCCAAATTTCCACATCTGTAAAGGGGAATATTCATAAGAGCAACCTCATAAATTTATCATATGATAATGATATGATTAATAATTATATCCAACAAAAATCATTAGATACTAAAAAGTTGTTGGGGGATGTTCACAGCGTCTCAAATGAACACCTGTCGACTTATTTGTTAAAAACAAAGGGCTATATATTGGGAAGGTACCTAATGCTACAGAATTGCACTTAAAAATGGTTAAAAGGAGGGTTGCCTGGGTGGCTTAGTGGGTTAAGCGTCCAACTTCACCTCAGGTCATGACCTCACAGTCTGTGAGTTCCAGCCCCACATCC